GGAAAACGATATTTTTTTTTGGCTTTTTTTCAAAAATAGTTTATACATAACAAATATCGCCTAATATTGTTTTCTTCTTTTAAATCATTTGTTGCTTTAAGAAAAACAAATGATCATCGATTGGTACACAAGTAATCAAAAACCTTCAGTTTCAGTCGTGACGTGTCTACACGTCTGTTCATGGATTCACGTGCGTTAGTATGCTGCTAATATAATCGCCAAATTCCAGATTAACATTTAGAACAATCTGAGAAAAATGTCAGTACCTGTAAAATATTTTGATATGTCGTCATCACTGGCTCTAGTACTTGTGTTGTCTGCTAAGTTATCCACGTGATTAGCTGTAAGTATAAAACAACAAAATAGGGTGGTATTAAGATTGTACTAGACGAAGTACATCGAATGAGTTTAACATTCCAGAAAAAAATATATAGCAAGTACCTGCATATGTGTCTGACAAAATTGTACATCCTTCCACTGCCGAATTCCATTCAACTTGGCCAAGAAATCTTTTCTCACTCTCTGCTCTTGATTTCAAGTTACCCATTTTCTTTTCCATGTGGAGTTAACACTATTTTAGTCCAGATCTCTTTTCATTAAATCTAAACTTTCTACTTTTGATCATTTAGAACAGTTTAACTTTTGATATAATAACTCTGTGTCTACTGTGATATTTCGTGTTGCTGTGTGGAAGGTGACAGCGGTTTACGAGCAAAATTTGAACGCAACCACCAGCTGTACCCCAGGAAATACATCCCAGTTTTCATTCTTGTCGTAGCGGGGAAAAACGGTAGCGGAAATCTAAAAATATTATCACAGATAACTGAGGTACCGGATGGTTTTATTGATATACCAAAAACTGGTTTCTGTGCGTTTTTTTTTTCGTTTTACTCGATAGTAAAATTTACTACTGTAAAACATTATATTTAAACTATATTCTGCCGCTCTAGCAGTATATATTTTTATTCCTGGTGTTTGAAAGAATTGTTTTCAACGAATCCTACTTTATGTTGTTCTGAGGGCTTTCAAAGAAATTTCAGTGCTTCACGCTATACTTTATATACTTGAACGCCAGCATGTAGGCTATCGGGCTAGAGAGTTTGTTGTGATACCTGTAATTAAGCCGGTACCTCAGCTTGACAAGGTCGTTAGTGGGCAGTGACCCATCGCCTACAGACTTCAAGTCTTGGGGTGTGTTACGTCACTTCCTTTATTATGGCTTGAACTTTGAACTTAAACGACGTATTACTTTATTGATATGTACTCAATTGTGTAGACTTTAGACTGTAGGTAGACCAACATACACGAGACACAACCTGACATATGGAGCAGTTGCATAGCTACCGTAAAGCTAATGTAAAGCTAGCGTAAAGCTACCTAAAGCTACCGTAGAGCTAGCGTAAGCAAGGCATATGCGCTGAAGGCACATAGGGGTGCTTTTCCTCTTTAAAAAAACTAAAACTTTTACATTGGAATTTCAATATTTGTTTTATGTAAATAATTTTAAAAAGAAAAAGGAAATCCAGTTTCTTTTCTACTGTAGAAATAATTTAAAGCTGTAAATTTTTGGTTTTCATACAATCGCCAAGAAAATTTAGGAAGTCGTTGAGAATACTCTAGGCAGTGTTTTTTTCCAAGACATTTATTTTTGAAAACATGCCTGAAAGAAACTCTGTCATTTGGGAAGGTTTCTAGCATTAAAATTTAATTATTTTTTTTGGATGACCTCGGCCCGGCAGTGAGGCGGTGCTGTTGGCCACTCAATTAAGGAACTTATTAATTATTTTGCGAAATTAAAAGCATGCGAAGAAACAGATCTCAATAGAACATGCGCAGTTTTTAAAAAAATAATGTGTGTTAGTGACGGCGCAAGGTCGGATGTTCCCCTACGTGTTTACCAAAGGTGTCACCCCATCATCTCCAACAACTTGGCTTTTTCGGTGGGGTGTCTCCCCTCTTCGACGTATCTTTTATTATTTTAGCCGACTACAACATAATTTGTCAATAAATTTGACAATGTTTGGTCATGGTGTCACGCCTTAATGTTGTCAGCCTATGCGGACCGCACCTCTGTCCCCCGTCTTGTGACCCTACTGTGTTTGGTTACTTGAAAAACAAAGTGACGGTAAGCCTGACACATTTTTACAAAACTACAGGGTTGTATGCCTACATAATAGTATAGTATACATAAACAATCAGGTTGCATAAAATACAAAATGTACAGAATATTTATATTATTTAAAACTCTACATCTGAAGTAGCAGTTGATTTCTTCGTTTAACTCTGTTGTAGCCTAACAGCTGACAAAGGTGACCACTGATAATCTTTGCATACAGGCCCGGAAATCCTAGCTACGCCGCTGATATGGAGGCTCTACATTACAAACAAACCTGACATGGAGGCTCTACATTGCTAACAATCATAGGCATTATAGACGGGTAAAATTACAATGTTTTTCATAGGTTTCTGTTTGTAAAGCTTAACATGTGTAGGCCGATGTATACACAATTAATGATGCAAACTTACAGAGGTGTACATGTTCGTGGGAAAGCTTGCTCAAACCTTATCTGTGCTGCTTAAAACATCAGCGACCATTTAATTATTTCAAATCTACACGAATCTCGTACGTTTCTCTTACTCCCCCCCCCCCCCAACACACCCAACCATCATTTCCAGTTTTCCGTCTACCTATAATTCTAATTTCGTAACACAAACGCACAACACAATAGGCACACGTTTTCTCATTGACCCCCCCCCCCCCACTGTGTTAACCCACAAACGTGTATCAGTCACCTACATCTGGACAGTCTGGTCTTTTGTCGCCTCACGGAACTTCGGTAGGTGTGTCCGAGTGGTCAGATTTACGGGACTTCGGTAGGTGTGTCCGAGTGGTCAGATTTACGGGACTTCGGTAGGTGTGTCCGAGTGGTCAGATTTACAGGACTTCGGTAGGTGTGTCCGAGTGGTCAGATTTACGGGACTTCGGTAGGTGTGTCCAAGTGGTCAGATTTACGGGACTTCGGCAGGTGTGTCCGAGTGTTCAGATTTACGGGACTTCGGCAGGTGTGTCCGAGTGGTCAGATTTACATGTTGTACAATAGTTCGATTTAAATAGATATATTTTATATTTTATGGAGAAGTAGCATCAATGTCAGCGACGATATATGTCAGTGTTGATGACATTTTGGATAGAAAATTACTGCATTTATTGACTGACAATCTGCTGAAAAAGTGTTAGATAGCAACAGTGCCTTAAATTGAGGGGCTGTGGTGGTAGAGTACTCGATCTACAGACATTTGTTTACATGTTTTGTATAAACATTTATAAATTTAACGAACCCAACCTCCACCTAAACTTAGTCTCATACACAATTCAACTTCCTAATTGGTTGAGGCCGTGCACAGAAAGAATGAGCTAGACGTTAGATCACCATTGGTTGTGTTACAAAATAGTCTTGAAACTAGTAATTTGTTAAACAATTATTTTAATATGTAGAAGTATTGTAAATCAAACGTCACATACAGGATGATGTGTGAGACAGTTGTAAAGATATGGTGTTAGCACGTCTTTTATGACAAACAGTACCTACATATATCTCAATCTTGGGCACACACTCTTATAGTATTCAATTATATGTATTATAATGTTAGTTTACTTAAACAAAACAGTGGCGTCGCTAGGTCGGGTTTAACCCGATGCGGCACCTCATGGTGTCACCCCCTCCCCACTATTTGTTGCTTTGTTAGGTTTGCAGTTAGTGTAACCCTCCCACCGACCCCCCCCCCCAGATAAAAGCTTTAAAGTGTAAAAATAAAATAGTATTAATATATTATCGATTGTCAATATAGCTTGGTGTAACATTGTTTTCTCCATAGTTTGCATTTTTACGTCATGGTGTTATTCCCCACCCCCCACATCTTTCCTTGTTGGGATCGTGATTATGTACTTAAAATGCTTATTTAGCTCTAATCAACCATTCGTTGAACTGGCAAAAAACATTTATTTATCTTGCAATTATTTAGCTCTAATCAACCATTCGTTGAACTGGCAAAAAACATTTATTTATCTTGCAATTATTTAGCTCTAATCAACCATTCGTTAAACTGGCAAAAAACGTTTATTTATCTTGCAATTATTTAGCTCTAATCAATCATTCGTTGAACTGGCAAAAAACATTTATTTATCTTGCAATTATTTAGCTCTAATCAACCATTCGTTGAACTGGCAAAAACATTTATTTATCTTGCAATTATTTAGCTCTAATCAACCATTCGTTGAACTGGCAAAAACATTTATTTATCTTGCAATTATTTAGCTCTAATCAACCATTCGTTGAACTGGCAAAAAACATTTATTTATCTTGCAATTATTTAGCTCTAATCAACCATTCGTTGAACTGGCAAAAAACATTTATTTATCTTGCAATTATTTAGCTCTAATCAACCATTCGTTGAACTGGCAAAAACATTTATTTATCTTGCAATTATTTAGCTCTAATCAACCAGACGTTGAACTGGCAAACAACATTTATTTATCTTGCAATTATTTAGCTCTAATCAACCATTCGTTGAACTGGCAAAAAACGTTTATTTATCTTGCAATTATTTAGCTCTAATCAACCATTCGTTGAACTGGCAAAAACATTTATTTATCTTGCAATTATTTAGCTCTAATCAACCATTCGTTGAACTGGCAAAAACATTTATTTATCTTGCAATTATTTAGCTCTAATCAACCATTCGTTGAACTGGCAAAAAACATTTATTTATCTTGCAATTATTTAGCTCTAATCAACCATTCGTTGAACTGGCAAAAAACATTTATTTATCTTGCAATTATTTAGCTCTAATCAACCAGTCGTTGAACTGGCAAACAACATTTATTTATCTTGCAATTATTTAGCTCTAATCAACCAGTCGTTGAACTGGCAAAAAACGTTTATTTATCTTGCAATTATTTAGCTCTAATCAACCATTCGTTGAACTGGCAAAAACATTTATTTATCTTGCAATTATTTAGCTCTAATCAACCATTCGTTGAACTGGCAAAAACATTTATTTATCTTGCAATTATTTAGCTCTAATCAACCATTCGTTGAACTGGCAAAAAACATTTATTTATCTTGCAATTATTTAGCTCTAATCAACCATTCGTTGAACTGGCAAAAAACATTTATTTATCTTGCAATTATTTTTCACCCCTCTGAATGGTATCCCCGGGTGCGATATGCACCCCCCCACACACACACTCGCCTCGCGACGCCTCTGAAATAAAAGTATACAATTGGATAAAGTATAACTAAAAGTCCAAGTATACTCCACTAAAATTTAATCCCTTTTCGTTCGTACCACTGTGGGTATGTGCTGTGGACAATCTACTGCCAAGTATGTAGACGATAGCCCCACTGCTACCCGGACACGTACAGGTTGTGTACGTGTACATGGTACCTGCACCCACCTCCTGTTTGTGTACCCAGCGACCTACAGAGACCTGCTTAGAAAGGCCATGAGGATGTGACACTATAATGGTCAGCTTGTCCACATCTCTACGACTCCTGTATTTTCCACTTATTTGCCCCCATAGCTCATCAAAACGGTTAATCATTTGTTTTAGTTTGTCGCCTATCATAGGATCATGAGTTGCACAGGCAAAATAACACAAATCATGTTCAGTATTTGGCCCACTTAACTTAAACCCATACATCTTGACAACTCGAGTTTTATCTTCATCATACCATAATCTACAGCTAGAGTTTTCTATTTCACTCTCATCAAAAACCACATGTCTGGCTGTCTGTACAACAACCTCCCACCACACGTGTCTCCGTGTGGCCGGGTAATCACATTCAGGACATGGGCATGGCATGTAGTCGTCCTTTCCCTTTGTGTACTTGGTGACAAACCTCACCCTCCCAGTGCCATTGAATTGTGTTTTCTGTCCTCTTGTGCTGTAGCAAGGATATTTCATTTCACCGCCCGGAAAAAACTCTGGTCTTTTAGAACTGGCGAACGTCACGGATACCCTGACCACCAGGTCGGCCAGGGCTTTAGTGAAGTCACAGATGTCCTCACTATAACCCGGAGGGAAATGTTGAATGGTCAACTGTTTGACAGGAATAAATTCATTGTGAGGTTTCTTGCAGTGTTTCTTGTAACGATCCCAATTTGCCTCCCCTTCAGTTTCAAGACATTCTTGTACTTCGTGTGTACCTATACAGGTAAAATGATATCAACAAAGTAATTAGCTTGACCACGTTAACAAAGATATATATATATATATATTTATATATATATATATATACATATATATATATATTTATATATATATATATATATATATATATATATATATATATATATATATATATATATATATATATATATATATATATATATATATATACTTACACATACATATTATAATTCTACAGCATCCATTAGTACAACCATCTAAACATCACCATCGCAAAAAAATAAAATGTACAAGATGCTTCAACACAACAATCTGTCAATTAATTTAGTATGCTATTGTTTTTTGTCCCAACTTTTAAAAAATCTTATATGCAATTTATTAAAATGAATGGACTTTTTCTCTGTATGTTTGTAAAATGTTGATGGATGACATGCATATAGTGAAAAATTCGACTTGATCGCCATTGTGTAATATTTTTAAAGTCTTAATTAAACAAAATAAATTACCCTTAAAAAATTCCAATTGTGTTTGAAAAAAGTAAATTACTTCCCTTGATAGACGACTTACAAAAGTTAATAAAAAGTTAATAATTACTTTTTTTTACGACTAGTATAAAAAAATAATATCACCTGTGAAATACTGTGAAATGTTTTCTTTACCCGCCATTGTGGTGCTGTCATACAGCCTATCCTGGCTGTCGTCTGTTAGTTAAATATTTGTATTCAACGACGTCTTTAGTCTTGTGGACAAAATGTAATTTTACAATGTTTATTAGCATTGGTATGGTTTGACACTATTGACATGTTCTATCTAACAGCTGTTTTATTCAATACTCTTGACATTTACTAGACATTAGACATGTTTCAAGGGATAACTCACATTGACCAATTTCACTTTTACTTGTTATCGTTCATAAACTATAAAAAACAAACTATAATTATACAAGGGAGTTGCTATAATAAAGGAAGGTCGCAAGCTAAAAATCTAACATTTCAGAAATCTTTATAAAACATTTATAATATCTAACACCATTTTAGCATTTAAATACAACATGTAGTATTATATTCATAATGTGAAAATTGAGTAACACTAAAAATAGAATAAGACTAAGGGCTGAATATTTGGACTATGAACAAACTTCAAAAAACATACCTATACACTATTTTTAAAATCAGTTGCTAGATCATTTCTGGTTGTGTCGTGTTAGACTAGAAATGACAAAAGGCCGGTATGTTGGTACCGAATGGTTCGAGTTCACTCACGATATACTTTTTTGTACCTCATTGATTCACGCAAGTTACTTGCAAACTAAAAGCGTTCGTGTCCATACTACACGATTCTAATCAAACAATAGATTTGAAGTAAACAGATTCTACATCAAAATCACCCCGATATATAGATTTATTGCTTCGTGTTTAGAATATTGTTATAAATCTGTTTAATCTGTTTTTATGAGTTGGAATTTTGATTGTTAGATCCTCATGTACTCATCAACTACTATACATTAAAAAATGAATTAGTTTGATTTTTCATTTAAATGTGATCCATTTAATATAAATACAAATTCAATTCATTTAAAAAGAAGTACGTCGCTAGTAGATACACAGATAGAGATTAATATCCATAAAACAAACCTCGCTTGAAATCAGCGCCCTATCAAAGTTTGTGTATGATAGTTACACACCTCTAGTGTGTCATACAATCTGAAATGTGACGGGTACACGGTTAACCAGAGCTTTCTACAGACTTTATTTCTGGGAAAATTTCTTTCACGCCTGAGTAGCTTCTCTAAATAGTGATCGGATCACTGGCAGCGGTGTGACATGGTGGTAATTTTATGTTTGGTGGTAAACTTGTGATAGTCGGTAATCTTGTGATGGTGATAATTTTATCTGTGGTAGTAATCTTACTGTGTGTGGTATTCTTGTGTTGGCCGGTATTCTTGTGTTGGTGGTAATTTTGTCTGTGGTGGTATTCTTGTGTTGGGTGGTATTATTCTGTTGTGGCGTAATCTTGGTGTGGGTAGTATTCTTGTATTGGGTGGTATTCTGGTTTTGGGTGGTAATCTTGTGTTGAATGATATTTTTGGGTTGGGTGGTATTCTTGTAACGGTGGTAATTTTGTCTGTGGTAGTAATCTTGGTGTGGGTGGTATTCTTGTGTTGGGTAACGACTATACACATAGACATTTAATGACAATGCATTAGTTTTGAGAATAGATTTATTAAATTATGTAATGAATAAAAATGGATAAGACAAGCAACGAAACTTTTCCTATTACTTTTTTAAAAAATTCAACCACACCCTTTGCATTTATTAGAGAACACAACAGTTTTAGACTGTAAAATCGAAACATAAAAATAAATCAACGTGGTGCCAGTACTGTACATAACAACAGCAACTAAGGTAAACAGGGCGACAGCTCGAGCTGTTTTCCCCGGGAAAATATGTCTGAAAGAAACCATGAAGCCATCTGTTAACATCGAATAAAATTTAAAAATAGATCTCTTTGTATCGTCATCGAAGTGGATCAAACTGGAAAATTTGAGCCAAATCGCTGTGATAGAAGTCAAATTTGAGTTACAAGATTTATTTGTAAATTAAATAAAAGCTTGTTAAAAAAAACAACTTTTTAAAAACAACATGATATATACGGTGGCATTATCTTAGAATTCAAGACGTACTTAATAGAAATAAAACAAAAACGAAAAAAAAATTCATCTAATTCGGACAGTTCACCCCAAAACGTTGACTTCTTGTCTTTTATTATTAAAAATCAAATCTTCTGAAGGACTCTCTTACATCATTCACCATACTCAAAGTAAACGTGTCTGGTGACTTTATGCTTCTGGACATTCGTGAGAATGGTCTATCAGGCAATCATGTTTATTTACATTTTAGATTTAAAAAAACGCAGCTACAAGCCACTGTCTACCCAAACCCCACTATAATTTAAACCATCATAGTCACGTCCACTGTGGGGATGGACAGAAAATTCCCACCCCAGTCTGTAGACCAATGCCCCGCTGCTACCGGGGCAGGTACACGATGTGTACGTGTACCTTGTGACCCCCTCCCTCACCACCTGCCTGTGTACCCAGTGACCTACAGAGACCTGCTTAGAACAGCCATGAGGATGTGACACTATAATGGTCAGCTTGTCCACATCTCTACATTCCTTGTATTTTTCTTTTATTCTATCACGTAGACCATTGAAGAGCCCCACCATTTTTTGAAGTTTATAGCCAACGTCTAAGTCATGTGTCACACAAGACAACTTACAAACGTCTTTCTCGGTGTCTGACACGTACACCTCACACCCATAAATCTTGACCACTGGACTTTGATCATCATCAAACCACAACCTACACCTGGACTGTCTCGCTTCATTCGAATCAAAAACCACATGCGTAGCTGTCACAACGCCAACCTCCCACCACACTTTGCTGGGTGTGTCCGAGTGGTCACAATCAGGACATGGACAAGTTCTGTAGTAATCCATTCCCTCTGTGTATTTGGTCACAACTCCTACCCTCCCCGTCCCTGTCCTTAGTGAGTTCTGTCCCCTGGTGTTGTAGCAAGGATATGGATCTGTAGTGCCTGGTACAAACTCTGGTCTGTCTGGACTGGTGAAGGTCACCGCTACCCTGACCGTTAGGTCAGCTAGGGCTTTGGTAAAGTTATACAAGTCAATGTCACGGTAGTTAGCTGGAAAATCTTCAGTGCTTAACACAGTCACAGGAATAAATCCTGCATGAGATTTTTTACACTCTTTCTTGTAAAGATCTAAATGAGCCTCACATTGACCTTCAATACATTCTTGAACTTCATGAGTACCTGCATTTGTAAATAAAAACAATGCTTATATCACTAGTGATATATACATGTCTCCTCCAAAATACACAAATATTTTTAAATCCCTGTCGTGAGATACATCACAATACGAATAAACACTACGGTGTTTTTATGGTTTACGTGGCAAAAGATAGTAATGACAAAGTTTTTCAAGGCTATATTTCTTGGTGTCATTTGATTTTCGACCTATATTTATTTGATCTTAGTTGTTATTAGGGCGCGGGTTTGCTCACATTATCGCCCAGACGCTCCGGGCGTGTTGAATGAACGCCTTGATTGTACGTTAATCACCCTCCGTAATGGTTAGATAGAACATACCTTGGCCATTGCCTAGGTGTCAGTGTTGCGCGGCGCTCTCGGGAGCCACCGGTTACACTACGCCGTGTCCGATCCCAAAATAGTCATTGAGGATAGTAGCCAACCGTGTCACTTTGTAGGGGGATCTTTAAAATGAATATAGGCTATATAGTGCTCATAAGCGAGCCCGGGCCGCTCTAGGTCTCTCAACAATATGGGCGGCTGAAGTCTTCCTGACCCCCTATACAGGACTCTCAATTAACGGACCGAATTTTTTCTGAGATATTTTGTCTGGGATCATTTGTCCATGATATCATTTGTCCTAATATATTTTGTCCTGTTATCTTTTGTCCGTGAGATCATTTGTCCTTGAGATCATTTATCCTAATATATTTTTTCCTGAGATCATTTGTCCGTGAGATATTTTGTCTGGGATATTTTGTCTGATTTCATTTGTCCTTTCATCACTATATACATGTATATATATATATATATATATATATATATATATATATATATATATATATATATATATATATATATATATACATATATATATATATATATATATATATATATATATATATATATATATATATATATACTTAAAATGAAATGAAAATACCTTTAAAATATTTTGATACATCTTCTTCGGTAGTCATACTGTGGTTTTCATCTAGGTTATCCAAATCCTTCAAATATAAGCGTAAAATACAAAGATCATCTGAAGTGTTGTGGAAGTTTCATAATCATTTTATAATGCTGGAAAGTTTTGTCTAATTATTATAAATACATTTATTAAGTTAAAAATATATTAAAATATACTCTTAGACAAATTTCTAGACCAGTACTGGTTGTCATATAGTCTTTCCTTAGTCTGTAGTGGTTGGATCTTTTCTTTTTTGCCTAATTTAAATCATGATTTTATACATAATATGTAACAAAACATAGAAAGATGTATGTCAAAATTTCAAGGTAACAGGAGGTCTCTATTTACAGACTTTGTTAAGACAGCAGCGGTCAATACCTTCACGTTAGGAGTGGGGAACTATTTAATATTTTCCTGAAATTAAACCTACACTAACTATGAGAGACTGACAGCCATGAATCGGAAAAGATAAAATCACTTTTAACGTTAGTAACTAGACTTACCTAGCTGTTGTTACATGTAAACATATAGTTTGTGTCTGAGAGTCAAATGTAAAAAGTACCAGGATACATATCAAGTTATACACCTATCCTATAACTTTAGATCTAGGAAACGATCGGCCATGAATGGGTGAATACTGTATTACTACCTAAGTTGCTATATTTGGATGGCGTTATTTAAATATAGATACTGAATATAACTGTAAATATTGAAAACTACCTGAGTATCTGATACTTAATAGCATGGAGATAGCAATAGACTCAAGTCAATTTATTATGGCATTGTTTTTTTTACAAAATGTGTACCCAGTTTAAAGCTTTTTTGGTTAGACCATAGTAAAAACATTTAGAAGCATTTACAGTATTGGTTTTACTTTTAAAAAAGCATTTAAATTAGGTTTAATTGATTTGTACGTAGGTGGAATGATAATGGCGGGGGGGGGGGGGCAAGTTCTTTGATGACCTCCGAACATAGGAAATGTAGTATAGTATAGTATACTAAAGATTTTTTTATAAAGCTAGGAGATGCGGAAGTAAATACAATTCAAATGATTTGATTAACTTTGAAGTAATTTTAAATAACATGCCTTCAACGTAACAATTAAAAAGAAAATGCATTTTAAAAATGATATGCAGCGCGCTGGATAAACTTTAGAGTGTAAATTGCTCATCATTAGTATGATAGGCGTACGTGTGGGAGGGGGGTGTTTTAGCTAGATATAGTTAACGCTGACAAACTTTTTGTCAAAGCTTTTTGTTTTGTTTACAAAAGTTCAGATACACTTGCGTGATTTCCAGTTATTAAAGGTTTTATTACTCCAGGAACTTAAAGAAACCGGGAGTGAGATCTATTGGTAGCTGCTGGAGACGGGTGTAAACATTTTGGTGTTGTGAAATCCGATCTAGTCACTTTGTACTTTAGTTTTTTGATAGAAATAATCTGCTTAATTTCAACTTACTTTCTAATAGCAGTCAATGTCTGCAGTTCATGCAGTTAAGGGGGTAGGCTCCAGAAAAAAACAACTTCTTAACAAATATGTTTTATTTATTTATTTGTGTATATCTAAGTTAGAGTACTTAAAAGAAAATATTTGCAAGCATCAGGGACTTTTTTGAAAATATGGTAGCCATGGCAACAGCGGCCATATTGAAAAAAACTAACTTTTATGGAGTTCTAAAATTACATAAACTAACATATATATCGTCAATACAACTATTGATCCTTCTTGTATTAACACTAATTTTTGTAACAGAAAACACTCTAGAAATATATTTTTGATTTTTCAAAATTTGGTATGGCGATTTGTTTCCTTATTCACCAGTAAAATTGCTTTAAAAAAATGTAACCGACTAACCAGGAATATGCTGTGTTATTTCCTGTAATTTTAGTTTTTTTAAAAGCTCTGTACCTTGTAAAAAGTAGTTTTCTATAGGTTGCACGGCCTATACAATGTTGACAATTTTCAGATATTCTTTCTAGTTGACTTAACCTTTAGTGTCATGCCGGTATCAATGTGCTGTAAATGTACAACTGATCAATGACTTGAATGATTTCACAATGAATACAGCAATCGATAACCGTCAAGTGTGCTTGTACACGAGTTGTCACTTGTCAGGTAATAGGGCGTCACGCCAAGATCAGTTCGTGAAAAACAGGTGCAGCATAAGTGTAACATTGATGTAACATATATACATATATATACATAGTTACCAAGCGTACCTTAAACTTTTCAGTAATATTTGCAACAGATACAAACGTGTTAATAACACACCTAATGCTAAAACATTCTTAGATCAGTACTTGATTGATAGAATTCAGTTCTATAGCCTGTGTTTGCCAGCTATATTTAAAGTGCACACCATTTCATGTTTCGCTACGTGAATATGTCATACACATGTTGGAACCTTAGACATAGATCGGATATAAAAAGTATTAGTGCACAAAAGAACAGGTTTAGTCGATGCATATCCACTTTGTGTGTAATCAGTTCGTGTGTCACCAGTGTGTGTGTCACCAGTGTGTGTGTCACCAGTTCGTGTGTCACCAGTTCGTGTGTCACCAGTGTGTCTGTCACCAGTGTGTGTGTCACCAGTGTGTGTGTCACCAGTATGCGTGTAATCAGTTCGTGTGTCACCAGTTCGTGTGTCTACAGTCCATTTGTCACCAATCCGTATGTCCGAGTATCACTACTCCATGTGTCCCCAATACGTGTGTCACCACTCTTCGACACCAAATTAATTAATTCGCTAGAAAACGATTTCACAAATGTAACTTCTACGTCCTATAATGAGCAGGATGTTTATATAACCAGATGTGTGGCATCTAGATAAGTATGTCCTTGTTTGTCCGTTTCATCAGACTTACAGGTATCTCTAGCTGAAGTTGTCGACTGGCCATTACATAGATCATTACATTTCAAAGATAGTTTAACTATCTGCCTAATTGTCATTACAGATGTAGAATAAACTTTTTGTTTACAAATTGTCGTCGTCAATGACGTCACTTATATCATTTAACCCTTTGGCACCTGGACTAAAAAAAAACAGCGACAAGACTGAAAAGTTTGTTGAGTGTTATGTAGAGCTGGGCTTGGTATGCCCCATACCTCAGTAGAGGGGAGCAGAGGACATACACGCTAAATAATGGATACCTGTATAATGTATATATATATATATGACGTGGTTTAAATCAAGATTTTACACACGCACACGCACACACACGCACACACACGCACACACACGCACACACACACAAACACACAAACACAAACACACACACACATAATGAGCAAGCTAAATAAAAGCCTTTTATTAAGAAAAAGTTTCATGATTATTGGTATTTAAGCAATGCCAGGCTACGAAGATGCTTGAGATAATTTCATGCATGGTTGCACGGTGTGGCAGAGTTTAAAGTTTTCAGAAGGTTTAAGATTCAAGCTAAACTCTCTTACACTGCAGTTATTCTAGAATGCAAAGTGATGGTAAGATATATCTTAGGGTTTTCAATGGTAACAATTAATCAAAGGTACTCAATTTGAATGAATTATGAGTTCATTTTATTATTTAGATTTTGTATCTACAATGTAATTTCATCCTTAGGAGTTGACAGAGACAACAGAAAAACGAACAACAACGCTTTGTGTGCCTGTCGACCGTCAGAAAAATGCTGCAGGATCCTGTTGGTTTAGAGTTATTGAATTGTTATGCATCCTGTTGGGTTAGAGTTATTGAATTGTTATGGATCCTGTTGGGTTAGAGTTATTGAATTGTTATGGATCCTGTTGGCAGAGGCGTAGCGACCCCTCCCGGCGCCCGGGGCGACATTTTAGTTTCGCGCCCCCATATATATATATATATATATATATATATATATATATATATATATATATATATATATATATATATATATATATATATATATATATATATATATATATATATATATATATATATATATATATTTGCGTGTGTGTTTGTGTGTGCGACAGTCTGGAAAAAAAATTAACAATTACGCTGATTGTCGTTCCCTAAAACTTCACTTGATGCCAATTAATTTCCCCTTAAGATGCCGAAACGAATAACACGTAGAAAATCATAAGAGCTTAGAACAGTGGGCTCCATCGAACCCGAGAGGTTCGGTAATTCAGTCTCAGTGCTTCCGCGTAGGTCAAGACACACACCCGACTCATAGGATTGACGATCGGATTTTCTCATTGTGGACGATACAACTATTAAGGAGGGTTCGGTGATTGCGCATATGAAACTGGTTGGGTTCGGTACTCCAAAAAGTTAAGAACCACTGCTTTAGAGTGTATTTTGTAGAAGGTGCAAGCCTTATTTGGTCTACTTTTGGTCGTGTCTTTAGAACAATTTCGATAATAGTAGGCCAATATTGCAATTTTGAATTATCAGTTAGGTTGAACAAAGTAATAATCAGTACAATATACTAATTTTCTTCTCTCTTAACATTTTGGCAAAGAGGGTCGCTTCCCATCCACCCGCTCCGACAGTCAGCTAACTCTTTTTTATGTTACACAATCTTAAAATACGCTTTAGTTCAATGGGTTTCTTTTCTATGCGATATCGGTTTATTCCTTAATCCGGTGTGAATTTTTCCGATTTTAGTCTTCGAAAAAGCGCCCCCCTCCCCATCTAGGAAAGCTGGAAAGCGGTTTTTCCGGTCACTGTTTCTTAAAGATATACGTTTTACAGTTACACAACCAAGGTAGGAAACAGTTAAATCAGTATGCAAAGGCTCTCAGCCGTTACATTTCTTTATTTTAACTGTTTATAATTCAAAACTGCAGCTTAAAATGAGCTTTTAATTTTTTTTCTACCCCTTTTGGCGCCCCCCCTAGGGTCGGCGCCCGGGGCGGCCGCCCTCCCCGCCCTCCCCTAGCTACGCCTCTGCCTGTTGGGTTAGAGTTATTGAATTGTTATGGATCCTGTTGTAACACGAGATTCTGGGGTCCAAAACAAACTGTTACATTAGGCTTCTATTTCTCTAAGATTTTTATTTGGCTGATAACTTATCTATCTGTTTGTGAAGTGTTTTGATAACATGATTTCCATCTACTGGTACTTGTCATTCATAACTTATTATCTATCTGCTAGAGACGTGTATTATTTGCCAGCCCCCTGACCTTCGAACCTATAACCGCTATAATTTAATTGAAGGCGGCTGGATGTCCCACTGTGGGGGTGGTCAGACCTATCTGTACACGCCAGTCTGTACACTAGCGCCCCACTGTGGGGGTGGTCAGACCTATCTGTACACGCCAGTCTGTACACTAGCGCCCCACTGTGGGGGTGGTCAGACCTATCTGTACACGCCAGTCTGTACACTAGCGCCCCACTGTGGGGGTGGTCAGACCTATCTGTACACGCCAGTCTGTACACTAGCGCCCCACTGTGGGGGTGGTCAGACCTATCTGTACACGCCAGTCTGTACACTAGCGCCCCACTGTGGGGGTGGTCAGACCTATCTGTACACGCCAGTCTGTACACTAGCGCCCCACTGTGGGGGTGGTCAGACCTATCTGTACACGCCAGTCTGTACACTAGCGCCCCACTGTGGGGGTGGTCAGACCTATCTGTACACCCCAGTCTGTATACTAGCGCCCCGCTGCTACCTGGACAGGTAGATGTGGTGTACGTGTATCGTGTACACCAACCGTGTACAGATTTTGTGTACTTGTAATGTTGACTTGTATCATCAGCTTTTTTCCCGGTCGTGCCATCCCCCACCTCCTGCCTGTGTACCCAGTGACCGATTGAGATCTTCTTAGGTCCGCCATGAGGATGTGCCACTATGATGGTCAGCTTGTCCACATCTCTACGACTTTCGAACTTTTCTTTCACCTTTTTACATTAGCGAACAAACAGTTGTCTTGTCTTCGACAGCTTTTGAGCCACATCAGGGTCGTGTGTCACACAATGCAGCACACATATATCTTGGTCTGTGTTTGACACACCTACTTTCCAACCGTCGATATTGACCTTTGGACTTTGACCGTTGTCGTACCACAACCTACAGGTGGAGTTCCTGGCCTCAATGGCATCAAAGACCACGTGTCTTGACGTCATGACATCCACGAGCCACAAGTCTTGGCCGGCTGTACACGTGTGTCCAACAGAGGCACACGGGGATGTCCTGTAGCCGTCCATCCCCTCCATGTACTTCCGGACCATCCACACCCTCCCCGTCACATAGAACATGACTCTCTTCTCCCCTTTGTACTTGGAGCAAGGATAGAGATCCTCAGTGCCAGGTATAAGTTCTGGTCTGTCTGCGCTTGTGTACTTGACCTTAATCTGTACCGTCAGACCAGCCATAGCGTTAACTAGGTCATACAGGTCGTTGTCTTGGTAACCAACAGGTAAATGTTCAATGGTGAACTTATCTGCTACTATAAAACCTTCATGAGATTTCTTACACACTTTGCTGGATAGAGGTGGATCTGCCTCACCTTCACAATCAAGACATTCTTCTACTTCATGTGTACCTGTTCATATAAACAAAACAAACTATTACAGTAAACATTGCAATGGCTGTTAAATTTAGACATGCATAAAACAAGAAAGCATCTGAACAGTAAATAATGATGTCGTGAGAATTATTTTTAAATATAGTTTCACGATAAGCTTAACATCAGCACCAAACCATAGTGACCAAACTAACACCAAAACATAAGAACCACAGCAGCCCCAAAACATAAGGACCACACCAAAATCTAAACATAAGGACCACAACAGCACCAAAACATAAGAACCACAGCAGCACCAAAACGTAAGGACCACACCAAAATCTAAACATAAGGACCACAGCAGCACCAAAACGTAAGGACCACACCAAAATCTAAACATAAGGACCACAGCAGCACCAAAACGTAAGGACCACACCAAAATCTAAACATAAAAACCACACCAAAATCTAAACATAAGGACCACAACAGCACCAAAACATAAGGACCACAACAGCACCAAAACATAGGGACAATGTTTATGTTTTTTTGTGCCACAATAAAAAAATGCCACATTAAAAAAATGCCACATTAAAAAACTGCCACATTTAAAAAAAAATGCCACATTAAAAAATGCCACATTTAAAAAATGCCACATTAAAAAATGCCACATTTAAAAAAATACCACATTTAAAAAAAATGCCAAATTAAAAAAATGCCACATTTTAAAAATGCCACATTTTAAAAAATGCCACATTAAAAAAATGCCACATTTAAAAAAAATGCCACATTAAAAAAATGCCACATTTTAAAAAATGCCACATTTAAAAAATGCCACATTTTAAAAAATGCCACATTTTAAAAAATGCCACATTTAAAAAAATGCCACATTTAAAAAAATGCCACAGTTAAAAAAATGCCACATTAAAAAAATGCCACATTTAAAAAATGCCACATTTAAAAAAATGCCACATTAAAAAAATGCCACATTTTAAAAAATGCCACATTAAAAAATGCCACATTTAAAAAATGCCACATTTTAAAAAATGCCACATTAAAAAAAATGCCACATTAAAAAAATGCCACATTTTAAAAAATGCCACATTAAAAACATGCCACATTTTAAAAAATGCCACATTTTAAAAAATGCCACATTTTAAAAAATGCCACATTAAAAAAATGCCACATTTTTTAAAAAATGCCACATTAAAAAATGCCACATTTTTAAAAAATGCCACATTAAAAAAATGCCACATTAAAAAAATGCCACATTAAAAAAAAATGCCATCACCTGTAAAATATTCTGACAAGTCTTCTCCACTTGCCATGCTGTTTTGTTCACTTCGATTTGTGCTTGAAACTGTAAATACACATACATATTTCCATTTTAAGAATTAGCTAGGCTGGCTCCAAAAAGTCTATTATTAGAACAATGGTTTCCCACTTCAAACGCTGCTACAGAGCTTGATTTACCAGCTCCAGTGGCAATAGGTAGATCGTCAACTGCAGGCACTTTTTAAAATAACTTTTATGTAAACGTATGGCAAACATGTTTTGAAAATAATTCATTTCTCAAAATTATTTGATAATACAACTGTCTAGCTCAAGTATTCGTTGAGAATCTTAATATTGCACAGAAAAGTGTACTAAACAATGGCAATAAAATCTTCATATAACACTTCTGTAACCAAACAAAGCTGTAGACGAAGGTTTGTGTTAAGCAGTGTAGTCTGTTTGCATTTGGTTAGTGTGTTTGGCAAATGTAAAATGACGAGATAATTAATAATGTCTTCACCTAATCAAATGTTGAGCCATAACCCATACCTGATTACATAACCACACACAGCCCGTGTATAGAGCACTATATGACCAGTTGCTGGAAAGAAAACTAGGTTATATGACGTCAGACGTAAAGACGCCACTGGATCAGTCGCTGTTTGTTGCATCACCCAGCAGTTTAAAAACTAAATCCACTTTAGACATATGTTGACATGTTCAGATACATCATTCAACTCACACACCTTACCTTACATCATTCAACTCACACACCTTACCTTACATCATTCAACTCACACACCTTACCTTACATCATTCAACGCACACACCTTACCTTACATCATTCAACTCACACACCTTACCTTACATCATTCAACTCACACACCTTACCTTACATCATTCAACTCACACACCTTACCTTGAGATCCACACGTCAGAGAGCCACGGCTACATACGGACACACGATCAAACACAACACGTTAGCACACGATCAAACACAACACGTTAGCACACGATCAAACACAACACACTATTTTTTCCGGGGAAATGAAGTCACGCATGATTGATTTTCTATGATCGACTTTATCAGTGAAGCTTATTTTTAGATTGATATGAAGTTATTTTTGTGTCGGTGTCAAGACTTGTAGAATGTGTCGGTTCACCCCGAGCTTTGTTTGCTACTGTCTACAGGTGTAGCTCAGGAGTAAGCTTCGCCACTGTTCAGAGCAATTGTATAGGGACAAATACAGAATATGTTCTTTACAACATACAACATACAACATACAACATACAACATACAACATACAACATACAACATACAACATACAACATACAACATACAACATACAACATACAACATACAACATACAACATACAACATACAACATACAACATACAACATACAACATACAACATACAACATACAACATACAACATACAACATACAACATACAACATACAACATACAACATACAACATACAACATACAACATACAACATACAACATACAACATACAACATACAACATACAACATACAACATACAACATACAACATACAACATACAACATACAACATACAACATACAACATACAACATACAACATACAACATACAACATACAACATACAACATACAACATACAACATACAACATACAACATACAACATACAACATACAACATACAACATACAACATACAACATACAACATACAACATACAACATACAACATACAACATACAACATACAACATACAACATACAACATACAACATACAACATACAACATACAACATACAACATACAACATACAACATACAACATACAACATACAACATACAGCATACAGCATACAGCATACAGCATACAGCATACAGCATACAACATACAACATACAACATACAACATACAACATACAACATACAACGTACAACGTACAACGTACAACGTACAACGTACAACGTACAACGTACAACGTACAACGTACAACATACAACATACAACATACAACATACAACATACAACATACAACATACAACATACAACATACAACATACAACATACAACATACAACATACAACATACAACATACAACATACAACATACAACATACAACATACAACATACAACATACAACATACAACATACAACATACAACATACAACATACAACATACAACATACAACATACAACATACAACATACAACATACAACATACAACATACAACATACAACATACAACATACAACATACAACATACAACATACAACATACAACATACTACATACAACATACACCATTCAACATACACCATACACCATACACCATTCAACATACACCATTCAACATACACCATACACCATACACCATACACCATACACCATACACCATACACCATACACCATACACCATACACCATACACCATACACCATACACCATACACCATACACCATACACCATACACCATACACCATACAACATACAACATACAACATACAACATACAACATACAACATACAACATACAACATACAACATACAACATACAACATACAACATACAACATACAACATACAACATACAACATACAACATACAACATACAACATACAACATACAACATACAACATACAACATACAACATACAACATACAACATACAACATACAACATACAACATACAACATACAACATACAACATACAACATACAACATACAACATACAACATACAACATACAACATACAACATACAACATACAACATACAACATACAACATACAACATACAACATACAACATACAACATACAACATACAACATACAACATACAACATACAACATACAACATACAACATACAACATACAACATACAACATACAACATACAACATACAACATACAACATACAACACACAACATACAACATACAACATACAACACACAACACACAACACACAACACACAACACACAACAAACAACAGACAACAAACAGCACACAAGACACAAAACACAAAACACAAAACACAAAATACAACACACAAAACACAACACCTAACACATAACGTACAACGTACACTATACAACATATAATAATCAATTAAAAAGTTTAAAAAAACCCACGTTTTCTGATTGAACTAAAAAGTAGAAAATAAATGCTATAGGCCCTACATCACAATAATGCAAGCGATCACTCTACTATAAGCGATGAAAAACGTGGGGCGCCGAAGTAAAAGTTATATTACTATTGATTAGATAATACTATTGACTTTTATTAGGGAGCTTGTAGAGAGTCAACAGTATTAGAAACTGTAAGAAAATCACGGCGCCCCACGTTTTTGCTCGCTTATAGTAGAGTGATCGCTTGCATTATTGTGATGTAGGGCCTATAGCATTTATTTTCTACTTTTTAGTTCAATCAGAAAACGTGGGTTTTTTAAAACTTTTTTAATGATTATTATTTTCTACTTTTTAGTCTTTGTCTGTTTGTTTGCATTAAAATCTTGCTATCGATTTTATCTTTTCACTTTTTTTGGGTAAACGAAGACAACTCGTAAAAAGACAACTCGTAAAAAGACAACTCGTAAAAAGACAACTCGTAAAAAGACAACTCGTAAAAAGACAACTCGTAAAAAGACAACTCGTAAAAAGACAACTCGTAAAAAGACAACTCGTAAAAAACACGTTGTTTGAATACGTTACTGACTAGAACACATAGATTTGAACCCGTGTCGAGTGGGATAGCAATCGTGTGCCCAACCACTCGACCATATCGTCTCCCCCAAACTGGCCTACCTCCTGTAAGTTTAAACTCGGTTCAAGCTAAATTCTCTGCCCCTAAGCCTGTGGCGACATGTGATCGTTCGCTTCACTGCGCGCGAGGTACGCGTCGCTGGTTTTTTTTCTAATGGCTAGCAGAGGAGAATTATATATATAGATTATATAGCGGTCTAAAATGCTCAATAAAATGTTTCCATTGATCAATTTAGTAATAATAACAATTGAATATTCAATGGTCATCCAAAAGAAAGCTTCCCTGAAAATTTCAGCGCGCTAGCTAACTGGGAAGTGCCAGAAATTTCGATCGCAAGATTTGATTGGAAAGACAAACAAATAAACACACAGAGAAAGCAAGTTAAAAAAACGTGGGAAAAAATACAAATTTAAAATCAAGCTAAACGAAATAGCTAAAGAAGAATACTGAATATTATACATTATAATTTAACATTAAAACTAATATCTAGAACTAGATGTCTAATTTTTTTAAAAGTTACACAATAAAACTAAACCGACAACACAAAACATCGAAACTAAATTATAAAGACAAAATACCAAAACTAAGTTGAAAACACAAAACACAAAAAAAATCGAAACTAATAAAACATTAAAACTCCTCTTGATGATTAAAACATTGAAACAGAAATGAAAAACCCATGAGACAATTAATTTGGTTGCTGATTTCTGTTTTATTTTTTAAAGTTTTATCACCATCGTTGTGACCATTCTATTTACGGCATGTCTACCGGGTTTTAAAGCCTACAACTTTGCACCTATGGAAAAAAAAGGACACATCCAACACTAGAATTCATGAAGTGATTGATGGCCTTAACATACTAGGCCACGTCACTTGAATCATTTATTAAGTGTTACTTGATATGGACACAGAGGCGTAGCGACCCCTCCCGGCGCCCGGGGACAAACTTTCTATTTGCGCCCCCCCCCCCTCGAACTTTCCATTGCACCCCCCCCCTCAAACTTTCAATTTGGCGCCCCCCTAAGGTCGGCGTCCGTGGACATATGTCCCCCTCGCCCCCCCCCCCTCGCTACGCCTCTGTATGGACAGACAAGAGCCAATTAACAAAAAAATTGGAATTTCCAAGTTCTTTAAATTTTTTTCTTACAATCGTTGATGTCTTTAATTGAGGAGATTTGTAATACCTGTAACAGTGTTTCTTAATTAACCGCCTTTTAAAAGCTTTTTATCTTGAAATCCGACTTACAATCACTAGACAAAAAAAAAACTAAAGTAAAATGGTTAAAAAAAGTATAGTTAGTCATAAATTTTATAACAATTTACTTACGTTATTAGTAAAACAGCTCCAGTAATTATTAATATTGAGATGATGATAGCAATAGGTAAATATATAAGTAGACTATAGGCCAATGTATCTGAATAATACATAGATATATCGATATTTAAGGAAATTTTATATAGATATAGATTTAGATAATGATATTGATATTAATATTGATATTAATGTTGATATTAATGTTGATATTGATATAAATCTGTAGACATGTATGTCGGTAAATGAAAAACTCACCATTATGTGGGCATCCCTTAACTTCCCTATTGCCGCCATAGCAAGGCTCCCCCGTCTCCTGTGTAGGGTAAGGTACAACACACCTCCTGTATCTCTCAGTCTGGTTGGTTTGTCTGCAGTTTGTCCAGTCCCCCCATTCACCCCAGCTGATGGATTCTTATAGACACATGGGAGTCAAAATCATATTAACAACGGTGCATTTGTTATATATATATATATATATATATATATATATATATATATATATATATATATATATATATATATATATATATATATATATATATATATATATATATATATATATATATATGTGTGTGTGTGTGTATGTATGTATTGTAAATAAGCGTGTCTGTTTTTAGTCCATGACATGTCTGTTTGTCTATGTGTTTCTTTATGTCGAGATTACGTCACCACATTAACAGAATCAAAATGTTCTAGACTTGATTATGCTAATACAAATCTGACAACCCCCCCCCCCAAAACAAAACATTAATACTAGACTCAATTGAGCGAACGTCTGGAAACTTGAATCCAGTTGTAATTTTTTTTCAAAATGAAATTTGAGATTTCATTGTTGATAGTATTCATTCCATCTATACCGTTGACTGAATATTAAACAAATGAACAAGGAATTAATTCACTGTATAATCCAGCCATTCCTTACTTCCACATATCTCCTCGCAAGATTTATGTTCGTGACTAGTTCCAATGCAGTAGGCAATCTCCTCTAGCGTATGGTTAGCACATTCTCTTATTCGGAGCATTGTCCCACCTCCACACATCACAGAACAGGATGTCCATTCTTGCCACCCACTCCACGTTCCATTGGCTGACATGTTGTCTGTCAAGGAACGACAACATTGTAAACTCACACACACACACACATACACACACAAATCTTTCTGATCCGCTAGATTACAATGTTTGCACATTGTTTAATCTCAAACCTAAAATGTAGGTAGCACAGTAGTTTATTTTGAGCTAATTAACTCTAGAACACACTAGCACACATTAATTTGAACTATTCCCCCCCCCCCCCCAGGTACGTCACGCTACAGTAAACACGATGATGTGTTGATACAATTCGTTGCAAAGTTCACATGACTTTGGGATATTGTGCGACTATGAATGTTTATCAAAACTTTATGGCGGCTAAAAATATCTTTACGCCACACCTCCAGTCAGAAGAGATACCACGTCCATCAAAACCACATTGGTACTAAACTATCTTCGCATTGTTTACATTACAGTCACAAGGAGAAATAATTTGATTAGAAAACCAAGAATATTACATTTCTTGCTGTTTTCGATACCACTATGTATGGGACCACAATAAACGTTACCACTGCAGGTAGCACCACACGTGATCGCCTCCCGTAAACTCCCGTCACACAGACCACCACGATACTCGGGATTTGGATTCATGCAGTCACGTGACCTGACCTTGACCCCATCACAAACAGCAGTGCAGGGAGACCACGCCCCCCACATCAACCATGTCGATCCTATTCGTAAATCTGTAGACAAGCAAGTCAACATTCAAATGTTAGTGATTTTATTTGTATTATATTTAATGTAAAACAATCAGAAATGTATAGAAAATAAGAATTTTATTTTCTAAATCCGTGCTATGTGAAATACCAATAATCTCCAAAATCAGTACCAGTCATAATCTGCCTACCTCATGATAGGACTCAACAAATATGAGACATATAATTCACATACCACATATACTGTAAAAAACGTTCTGGAAAAACTGGAAAAAAAACCTCAGAAAATTTGTTTTCTAACCTTTATTGCAATCTCAGCATCTTTTCCTTCCTCGTCATTTCTCCCCAAAACTTGGGCAAAGATGATTGTCTTACGAGATCTCGATTTAAAACACGTTTCCACACATTGTGTACAGTTATTATCCCAGTCTCCCCATTCATATGAGTACGAGGTAATTGCTTGGACAGAGAAAATCACATATAGTTTAGGCTAATATTGACTAGATGCAGGGATATAAAGATTGAGTATCACATATAGTTTAGGCTAATATTGACTAGATGCAGGGATATAAAGATTGAGTATCAAATATAGTTTAGGCCAGGGGTCGGCAACCTGCGGCTCGCGAGCCGCATGCGGCTCTTTTGATGTCAAGATGCGGCTCTCCAGCTCCTTGCACAAATACTAATAATCTTAATAAAAAAATAATATATTTGATATAAAAAAATGTTAGTGGCTCTTTAAAACCAGGGAAATTTTGAAAATTGTAACTTTTGGCTCTTCCGCTTCAAAAGGTTGCCGACCCCTGGTTTAGGCTAATATTGAATCAACTGTATAAAATAAAAAGTAGAACACCTGAAACATATTACAGTAAAAGCTATAAAAATGATACTTTGTTACACTTTTAAATTAAAGAAACACGTAAGTCATTACAGCTGACTGGTCCAGGTCTTACAGCAAATTCTTGCCACTAGAACTTACGATTGCACTGAACGACCTGATGATCACAGTTGGTTCCGGTCCACGGATCCTTACACTGACATCGGTAACCATCGGCCTCAGAGAAACAAGTCGCGTGGGGGCCGCAGGTTGTAGGAGTACACACATTAGTTGCTGTCAAATTACAGAAAACAGGTTTGAATAGTTTGATCTTTTTAGCGCAATTTCCATACTGGACAATTGCGATTATTAACTCGTCATTTCTGGTGATGGATGGATGGATGGATGTGTGTCCGCAGCTTTAAGTCGTATCTCCTCCTCAACGAAGCAATATCGAGGACTAGTTCCAAAAGCAAATATGTTAAGCAAGTTCCGAGGATGATTGTGGGCCAAAAAAATTCCCGGAATTCATTCCTGGATTTCCCGGAAAAGCCAAAAAACCTCGAAAACATGCAGTTTTTGGCCTATATCTCGGCAACCAGACCACTTAGCGACTTGAAACATTTACCAATCGATTCCTGCCATAATTTAGAACAATATTGCCGAAGAAAGTTTTCAAAAATATCCTTTCGTTTGATCACAAAAAATATTTACTACTTTTTTAAACTGAGCATCGTGTAGGCCTAGGATGATATTTACTACTTTTTAAAACTGAGCATCGTGTAGGCCTACTTGTTAAAATAGAACTATTTCCGTTGATATAGGTTAATATAGTTGTCTTTTTTAGCGCAAAAAAATATCCTTTCGTTCGGTCACAAAAAATTAAAAATTGTTATGGATAACATAAGGAAATTGCTCTTAAATTGTCACTAGACTTTTTAGTAACTTGTTTTATGATTGAAATCGTCTGTTTAAAACAGTTGTTATCTTTATTGATTCATGTCAAAGGAATGGAAAAGTTACGTAATTGTTTTTGTTAAACTAGAAGAATATTGTTGGAACAACAGATAGTGCTTCTATAATTTTGTTTCCTTTTAATATAAATATTCAGTTCTCTTTGGCTTTAAATGTATTCCTTTTACTTAAAACTTATTTTTGTTGTACGTATAATGACTATCAAAACTTGCATCCCAGTGAGTTGATCTTATATTTGATATCTTATTCTTACGTATTATATAAGTAAATACAACGACGTCAATGACAACACTTTAGAAATAGGCCTACTCTTATGTTCGACACGGCATTGTGGTATACAATTGTTTTTTTTAATTGGATTTTTTTATAATTGGTTTTTATAATTGGTTTTTACAATTGTTTTTACAATTGGTTTTTACAATTGTTTTTTACGCTTTGTTTTTACAATTGGTTTTTACAATTATTGGTTTTTACAATTGGTTTTAACCATTGGTTTGTTATAATTGGTTTTTACAATTGGTTTTTAAAATTGGTATTTACAATTGGCTTTTACAATTGGTTTTTACACTTTGTTTTTACAATTATTGGTTTTTACAATTGGTTTTTGCACTTGGTTTTTAAAATTCGTTTTTACAATTGACATTTAAAATTCGTTTTCACAATTGGTTTTTACAATTGTTTTTTACAATTGATTTTTACCATTGGCTTTTAGAATTGGTTTTTACAATTTGTTTTTACAATTATTGGTTTTTACAATTGGTTTTTACACTTGGTTTTTAAAATTCGTTTTTACAATTGACATTTAAAATTCGTTTTCACAATTGGTTTTTACAATTGTTTTTTACAATTGGTTTTTACAAATAGTTTTTACAATTGGTTTTTACAATTGCTTTTTACAAATGGTTTTTACAATTGGTTTTTACAATTGGTTTTTACAATTGGTTTTTTACAATTGACATTTAAAATTGGTTTTTACAATTGGTTTTTACAATTGGTTTTACAATTGTTTTTTACAATTGTTTTTACTTTCTCGTATATACGAAGTATAGAGAAAGTATTGTAATCGTGCAAAAAAAAATCGAGATATTTACAAATCTCGACATTTTACACCTCACTGATACGGAAAAACATAATTTTTGCAATCTTGTCCGTATGTCTGTGTGTCTGTCTGTGTGTCTGTCTGTCTGTCCGTTTGTAAACACGATAACTTGAGTACCGTTACAGCTAGGTTGATGAAATTTCATATATAAGTATTTTATCAAAATCGTAGATCCGTATCAACTTTTGGGCGATTTCCGATAACCGGAAGTGGTACTTTTCCTACTTTGAATTTTTCAGTGAGTTGATCTTATATTTGATATCTTATTCTTACTTATTATATAAGTAAATACAACGACGTCAATGACAAAACTTTAGAAATACTCTTATGTTCGACACGGCATTGTGGTATACAATTGTTTTTTTTAATTGGATTTTTTTATAATTGGTTTTTATAATTGGTTTTTACAATTGTTTTTACAATTGGTTTTTACAATTGTTTTTTACGCTTTGTTTTTACAATTGGTTTTTACAATTATTGGTTTTTACAATTGGTTTTAACCATTGGTTTGTTATAATTGGTTTTTACAATTGGTTTTTAAAATTGGTATTTACAATTGGCTTTTACAATTGGTTTTTACACTTTGTTTTTACAATTATTGGTTTTTACAATTGGTTTTTGCACTTGGTTTTTAAAATTCGTTTTTACAATTGACATTTAAAATTCGTTTTCACAATTGGTTTTTACAATTGTTTTTTACAATTGATTTTTACCATTGGCTTTTAGAATTGGTTTTTACAATTTGTTTTTACAATTATTGGTTTTTACAATTGGTTTTTACACTTGGTTTTTAAAATTCGTTTTTACAATTGACATTTAAAATTCGTTTTCACAATTGGTTTTTACAATTGTTTTTTACAATTGGTTTTTACAAATAGTTTTTACAATTGGTTTTTACAATTGCTTTTTACAAATGGTTTTTACAATTGGTTTTTACAATTGGTTTTTACAATTGGTTTTTTACAATTGACATTTAAAATTGGTTTTTACAATTGGTTTTTACAATTGGTTTTACAATTGTTTTTTACAATTGTTTTTACTTTCTCGTATATACGAAGTATAGAGAAAGTATTGTAATCGTGCAAAAAAAAATCGAGATATTTACAAATCTCGACATTTTACACCTCACTGATACGGAAAAACATAATTTTTGCAATCTTGTCCGTATGTCTGTGTGTCTGTCTGTGTGTCTGTCTGTCTGTCCGTTTGTAAACACGATAACTTGAGTACCGTTACAGCTAGGTTGATGAAATTTCATATATAAGTATTTTATCAAAATCGTAGATCCGTATCAACTTTTGGGCGATTTCCGATAACCGGAAGTGGTACTTTTCCTACTTTGAATTTTTCAGTGAGTTGATCTTATATTTGATATCTTATTCTTACTTATTATATAAGTAAATACAACGACGTCAATGACAAAACTTTAGAAATACTCTTATGTTCGACACGGCATGGTGGTATACAATTGTTTTTTTTAATTGGATTTTTTTATAATTGGTTTTTATAATTGGTTTTTACAATTGTTTTTACAATTGGTTTTTACAATTGTTTTTTACGCTTTGTTTTTACAATTGGTTTTTACAATTATTGGTTTTTACAATTGGTTTTAACCATTGGTTTGTTATAATTGGTTTTTACAATTGGTTTTTAAAATTGGTATTTACAATTGGCTTTTACAATTGGTTTTTACACTTTGTTTTTACAATTATTGGTTTTTACAATTGGTTTTTGCACTTGGTTTTTAAAATTCGTTTTTACAATTGACATTTAAAATTCGTTTTCACAATTGGTTTTTACAATTGTTTTTTACAATTGATTTTTACAATTGGCTTTCACAATTGGTTTTTACAATTTGTTTTTACAATTATTGGTTTTTACAATTGGTTTTTACACTTGGTTTTTAAAATTCGTTTTTACAATTGACATTTAAAATTCGTTTTACAATTGGTTTTTACAATTGTTTTTTACAATTGGTTTTTACAATTGGTTTTTACAATTAGTTTTTACAATTGGTTTTACAATTGGTTTTTACAATTGTTTTTTAGAAATAGTTTTTACAATTGGATTTTACAATTGGTTTTTACAATTGCTTGTTTACAATTAACATTTAAAATTGGTTTTTACAATTGGTTTTTACAATTGGTTTTACAATTGGTTTTTACAATTGTTTTTACTTTCTCGTATATACGAAGTATAGAGAAAGTATTGTAATCGTGCAAAAAAAAATCGAGATTTTTACAAATCTCGACGTTTTACACTTCACTGATACGGAAAAACATAATTTTGCAATCTTGTCCGTATGTCTGTGTGTCTGTCTGTGTGTCTGTCTGTCTGTCCGTGTGTAAACACGATAACTTGAGTACCGTTACAGCTAGGTTGATGAAATTTCATATATAAGTATTTTATCAAAATCGTAGATCCGTATCAACTTTTGGGCGATTTCTGATAACCGGAAGTGGTACTTTTCCTACTTTGAATTTTTCAAAAGCCTATAACTTGAGTACTATTTCATATAGATGAATGAAATTTCACTTGTAAGTAAAAGATCTAATTCTCTACCTTCTGTTAAAGTTTGAGTAATTTCCGTTGACCGGAAGTAGTAATTTACGCTACTTCCGATTTCTAAAAAAACTAATGTAAATTTTTAAAGTACTAATAATATTGCGCACTATTATACACGTTTTTATTTGGCGTTCACTTGGTGTGCAATTCTTTTGTCTACGAGATTTTATTCTATTTTTAAAACTTTAAGTATTTAAAATGGATTAAAAATTATGTGTATAGCCCGAGTTCCCATCTCCTGTTATTTACAATTAGTTTTTACAATTGGTTTACCATTGAATTTTACAATTGGTTAATTGGTTTGTAATAATTGGTTTTTACAATTGGTTTTTACAAATGGTTTTTACAAATGGTTTTTACAATTGGTTTTTACAATTGGTTTTTAAAATTGGTTTTTACAATTGGTTTTTACAATTGTTTTTTACAATTGATTTTTACAATTGGTTTTTACACAAACGTTACAGAGGACATCAATGATTGAGGTATACTAGTTGTTATTTACGGTTGTCGCATAAAGGTTGGCGCAGACGGTTTGTTAAAGAAGTACTGGGACGATATGTATCTATGGAGAGATAAGCCAGTTATTAGCTTCAACCAAAAGAAGTACTGGGACGATATGTATCTATGGAGAGATGAGCCAGTTATTTGCTTCAACCAAAAGAAGTACTGGGACGATATGTATCTATGGAGAGATGAGCCAGTTATTTGCTTCAACCAAAAGAAGTACTGGGACGATATGTATCTAGGAGAGATGAGCCAGTTATTTGCTGTAACCAACGAACGTTTAGAGAACTTACCATTGCAAGACTTGGTCAACAAGAGAACTGGCAGGGATGTTGGGCCTCTCAGTAAATTCTCATCTAATTGTTTGTAGCAGGAAGTGGCAAAATCCTGCAGCTGAGACTTTGTCAAGACAGTCTGGCTCATTTGCATACCGTTAATCCAGATCGCTGGGACGTCAATTTAAAAATAGTAACATAGGAACATTAAATACAATCATAATTTAATACAATCATAGTTAAATATAATCATAATTTAATACAATCATAGTTAAATACAATCATAATTTAATACAATCATAGTTAAATACTATCATAATTAAATATAATCACAATAGACTTGGCTTAGGGCGCTGAGAGGTTTATTATATAATATGGCTGTAGGGTGATGGGTTCCTATTGATGTGAGATGTTGAGTTACAGTCTGATGTTGAGTTACAGTCTGATGTTGAGTTACAGTCTGATGTTTAGTTACTGTGAGTTGTTGAGTTACTGTGAGTTGTTGAGTTACTGTGAGATGTTGAGTTACAGTCTGATGTTGAGTTACAGTCTGATGTTGAGTTACAGTCTGATGTTGAGTTACAGTCTGATGTTGAGTTACTGTGAGTTGTTGAGTTACTGTGAGTTGTTGAGTTACTGTGAGATGTTGAGTTACAGTCTGATGTTGAGTTACAGTCTGATGTTGAGTTACTGTGAGTTGTTGAGTTACTGTGAGATGTTGATATACTTTGACTGCGAGATGTTGAGTTACTGTGAGATGTTGTGTTACTGTGAGTTGTTGAGTTACTGTGAGATGCTGGGTTATTTTGGCTGTGAGATGTTGAGTTACAGTGGCTGTGTATGTATTACATTTTATAGTGTACGATTTCCGAAAAATAATTTTCTTTGTGTTCAGATTTTCAAGAGATATGTTGTCCAACCAGCCTTCTTCCTCGCCATTGACGAATAAAACAGCTTTGTTGTTCTGGTACGTTACAGCTACATGATTCCATCTCCTGTGTAAAGTAAACAAGTAAAGCTCTATAGGCCAACTGAAGTAGATTTCATATTTCTCTTGACCTAGGCATTGATAGGATGCTGTGGTCTGCACTATGACCAGCCGCCTTTTCTTGCCCCACGTGAGTCAGGTACCCATACAGCTGTGTGGACTAAAGAATTGTCTGAAATCTAACCATGCACGTCCATTTTAATAGTGAGGGGTACAATCAGTGGGGGAGGGGGGGGTGGCTGTCAGGTAAAGTTTGAATCCTCGTTGGTGAAATCCACCCATTCGCCCAAGGGACACTATACATTCTAGCGTTTTATACCTTGGTGTATGCCCCATCTGCCCAGTGTAACATTAGGGCACAAAATCTCATTTTAATCGGACTTATACATTTAGAGTTACAGGATATTAAAAATAATCTACATCAATCGACGCTATCCGATAGTTTGGGCCTTGTGTACATTAATCTGTTCTTGAACTTATGGGACCATTCAAGGACAGTGACAGCACTCGCACAGGTGACAACATCTTCAACTTTTAATCAGCAAAACGATATCTCACGTGACCTGACGATGTGCGGAAGATTTCCCGTTTCTACCATTAGCAAAAGGTTGTCTAAGGTCAGGAATGCAGCGTTCAGGTTAGACGTGTTAAGTCGAGTGCCCAGAGACATCCTGAAACCTGACGTCATGTGGAACCATACAGGTGAGATCCAGCTCATCCAGGTGAACCGAACTGGCAGTTGTTGAAGGCCTTGGATGACTGCATCGGGACCTTCTTCTCTTAAGCGCACATCAAAAACTAGCAGAAACAATGTCGAATTCATTTTTTTATTATAAACAGTAAATACTAATTCAGTAAACAAATTTAAATGCATCAAATCAAATGAAGATAGTACTAAGCAACACATAACAAAGCAACTTGGTTGGACGTGGTTATGGATGGCATTGGAAATGGACATGAGCACGGTGTATATATATATATATATATATATATATATATATATATATATATATATATATATATATATATATATATATATATATAAGACTCACATGTACAGTCAGTGGCAGAAATTGAAGGTGTTGATGTTGTCCGCATACCAAAAGGGCAATAATCACACGTGGTCTTGCCGGCGTGAGTCTGATAGCTTCCCACTGGGCAGGGTCGGCAAGGCTCTGCTCTGGACAAGGAAAAATGTCCCGGCTTACAGAGAGCTAAATAAATAGCATTTAAGTCAGTTACACTTGTGACTAAAGTCAGTTAAACGTGTGACTTAATATCGTTAAACCAATGACTACAGTCCATTAAACCATTGACTTAAGTCAGGTAAACTGATGACATAAGTCAGTTACACAATCGCTGGATATATAAATCGGTTACAGCCAGCTACAGCAATGGAGTACTCACTCTTACTATTAGAAGTACTCACTCTTACTATTAGAAGTACTCACTCATACTATTAGAAGTACTCACTCATACTATTAGAAGTACTCTCTCTTACTATTAGAAGTACTCACTCTTACTATTAGAAGTACTCACTCATACTAATAGAAGTACTCACTCATACTATTAGAAGTAATCACTCTTACTATTAGAAGTACTCACTCTTACTATTAGAAGTACTCACTCTTACTATTAGAAGTACTCACTCATACTATTAGAAGCACATCTAAGGCCTGCTCGTTGGCCTTAAAGCTGAGCTCCACTATATGAACAGCATGAACATCATACTTATAAATCTATACTTGTCGTCTATTGAATGTACATCATACTTATAAAACTATACTTGTCTTCTATTGAATGAACATCATACTTATAAATCTATACTTGTCGTCTATTGAATGTACATCATACTTATAAATCTATACTTGTCGTCTATTGAATGTACATCATACTTATAAAACTATACTTGTCTTCTATTGAATGAACATCATACTTATAAATCTATAATTGTCGTCTATTGAATGAACATCATACTTATAAATCTATACGTATCGTCTATTGAATGAACATCATACTTATAAATCTATACTTGTCGTCTATTGAATGAATATCATACTTATAAAACTATACGTATCGTCTATTGAACAATGAAGCAGTATTTTATAAGACACCAGATAAATAATATCCATTTAAAAACACAATCCAATCATCCATTTACATGTTTCTTTAAAATCCTAAATCTTTAATTGCTATTTTAACACAATTTCCCTGCCCATCCGAACCCCACCCCAACCCAATTCTCTTAGCGCACTATAAAAAACCAACAACTGAAATATATTTTTTAACATTCTGTTTTAAGCATTATAAAACTGAAACAATATGAACGTAAAATAAAAATAGGAAATTTGTTGTTTTTTTTAACAATCATCTGATTAAGCTAATAATATGTCCCAAATGCGAATACACTGGGATTATCTATAACAATAAATATTTATTATTGATAAATCACATACAGACATTGGTATAAAGGTCTAAGTGTTAAATTGGATACTTATATCTATTTATATATATCTGTGCATATATATATATATATATATATATATATATATATATATATATATATATATATATATATATATATATATTATGTAGGTGTTTGATAATAATTAACTTTTTTAAAAACTTTAACATGAAACATACATGAATATTCCTGTCCAACAAAATCTAAGTCTCTGACCTATACACGCTTCCCTGGCTGTTGAGCCAACTTTGAGAGTGATCGATGTCCCAGGGCATGGCTGACATTTCTCAGCGACATCTTTGTCTTGGTAGGTATTTAGTGGACATTTCGGACACAGGTTCCTGCTTCGGTCGTAGAACGAGCCTTTACCACATCCGGCTAAACGGTGGGAAGTTAGTTCAATTAACCACATCCGGCTAAACGGTGGGAAGTTAGTTCAATTAACCACATTCGGCTAAACGGTGGGAAGTTAGTTCAATTAACCACATTCGGCTAAACGGTGGGAAGTTAGTTCAATTAACCACATTCGGCTAAACAGTGGGAAGTTAGTTCAATTAACCACATCCGGCTAAACGGTGGGAAGTTAATTAAGTCAAGCTCAATTATGTAAATTATGTATGTATGGATGTATGCAATGTATATAATGAAGTAGATAGCCAGCTGTATTTAATGTATTCAAAGTATATATCACTAATAAAAAAGAGATATTTAAAAATAAAGCGAGAGTGATTTCGCCTAAACTTTCTCAAATATTCGTATATAACACCATGGGGGATGCAACTCGGAATATAGACATGAGTTTTAATCAGTTTTAATCAGTTTTTACATACTTTTTAAAAATAGAATAGAATCTCATAGAAAAAAATGGTGCACTGTGTGAACATCAAACAACGGGAATATAACTGACAGATTCGTTTCAAAGTTGGCACGTGGGTCAAGACATGAAGACAATGCAATCTGACTTTAAATTTAACTTAATGGATGCCTAATTCATTTTTTATAGATTAATTAAAATTATGTCCAAATTAGTAGGCTGTCTTATCCAACTATTTCGCTCCAAATTATACCCGCGTTATCACGTTCAATTGGGTATCCGATAGGTAACACGGGGCCCACGCTTTTGTTTACAGTTATTTAAATACTAGTGTATTATGATAGATTTAAAGAAAATCATTTAGTTTCTACTTTCTAGTGCATTATTACATAAAAGCTTGTTATTAAAACTTTTTAAAAACTTTTTTTTTAATTCTACGAGATTTTTTTTTAAGAAAGTATAATATGATTGAATCTTTCGCCATATTTCCAATCGGTCAAAAACCTTCAGAATTCGATGATTGTATAAAATATTTGGTTACTTAAAGGTATATGCTAAAAAAATGGGATAACACACAGTTCACAGACACACACAGTTCAGCGACACACATGCACACACACACAGTTACCGACACACACAGTTCAGAGACACACACAGTTTACTGACACACACACACACAGTTACCGACACACACAGTTACCGACACACACAATTTACCGACACACCAACCTTTACAGTCTGAGACCGAACTTCCAGCCATTCTCCTGGTAATAAGACCGGGTGGGCAGGGGATGCAAGAGAAAGCTATCTCCTGGTCCTGATAAAAGTCTTTTGGGCAAATCTCGCATTCGTCCGAGGATGTGTTGTATATGTGACCCTCTCCACAGCCCACTGCAGCAGTTGAAAAACATTGAAAAAATAATAGAAATTATATATATATATATATATATATATATATATATATATATATATATATATATATATATATATATATATATATATGTATGTGTATGTATATATATATATATATATATATATATATATATATATATATATATATATATTATATATATACATATATATATATACACACACACACACATATATATATATATATATATATATATATATATATATATATATATATATATATATATATATATATATATATATATATATATATATATATATATATAATTATGTCTTTATTTTGTCAAGAAAAGTTGTCGAAGTGTGTTTGCCTTCAACTACAGAGCGACAGATACAAGTTTAGGGGCCTCTCACATATTGTTTCCACCCTGATGTACCCTCCCCACTCCGTAGCTTCAGATACTATGTGACGACACGCCATTTAAAAACTATTGATGGAAACCTTAACTTGTTTTAACAGTGTTCTGTAAGTAAAGCACCGCTGGCCTATGCCACTAACGTGCGTCGTTTGATAGCCATACACATTTTAACATTGCCGGATCATTGGTTGGTGATAACACAATAACATTTTCCACGACGAAAGACACTAAGGCCTGTATAATGCTACAGCTTACTACATCTTAGTAATATATTGTAAAGTACTGAAGCCTGTATAATTCTACAACTCACCACAAATTAGTAATATATTGTAAAGTAATGAAGCCTGTATAATTCTACAACTCACCACATCTAGGTAAAATATAATTCCTGTCCATTAACGTGCCTGGAATTGTACATGTATATATATCTTCACATTCCAGAAGTATTTTTCGGGGGGATTTTCCTATGAATTTAGGAAATAGGAGTTCAGATGTTTCCTCGATGTGATCACAGAAATTCTCGATAATGCGTCTGTAAAGATGCCCTCTGCTAACATTAAATGGTTCCATCCACAGTGTTATTCCGAACTAAACATAGAAACAAAGAAATCATTTTACTAGACATGTTTTCGTTATACGCTCCATGTTCGATTAGGTAATGTTTGCCACTTCAGGCAATGTTTGCCACTTCAGGTAATGTTTGCCACTTCAGGTAATGTTTGCCACTTCAGGTAATGTTTGCCACTTCAGGTAATGTTTGTCACTTCATTGCCAACAGTGGTTACAGCAACCAGAGGCGTAGCGGGGGGGGGGGGTGAAGGGAGTTACACAAAGGCTAAGCTAAAATAGCAAAATAGATATACAAATAAACCGGAAGTGATCTCCCCTAAACTTTCTCGAATATTCTTATATGAAATAACAGGGGATGGCAACTCGGAATATAGACATGATTTTTAATCCATTTTAAGTACTTAAACTTTTTAAAATAGAATATAAATCTCGTAGAAAAAAGAATTGCACACAAAGTGAACGCCAAATAAAATGTGCATAATAGTGCGGAATATTATTAGTACTTTATAAATTCACATGCGTTTTTTTTTTCAGAAATCGGAAATAGTGAAAATTACTACTTATGGTCAACGGAAATTGCTCAAAATTTGATAGAAGGCAGAGAATTAGATTTTTTTACTAACTTATGAAATTTTATTTATCTATCTGAAACAGTGCTTAAGTTATTGGCTTTTGAAAAATTAAAAGTAGTAAATGTTCCACTTCCGGTTATTGGAAATCGCTCAAAAGTTGACAAGTATCTACAATTTTGATATAATACGTATACATGAAATTTCATCAACCTAGCTGTAACGGAACTCAAGTTATCGTGTTTACACACACATACACAGACACATACACATACACATACACAGACATACGGACAAGATTACAAAACTATGTTTTTCCTACTCAGGGAGCTGTAAAACGTCGAGATTTGGAAAAATCTCGATTTTTTTTGCACGATTACAAGACTTTCTCTATACTTCGTATATACGAGAAAGTAAAAATGATTATTCTAGCTCAATAAATGATTGATTAGAGTTAAACAGTATTTCAAAAACAAAACTGAAAACATTCCTAACACGGGTGGTTAGGGGGAGGGGGTGGTGACACCATGACGTAAACCTGCTAACTATACAGAAAACAAAGTTATATCCAGCTGTATTAATAGCCGGCTATAGATAAACATTGTTAGTATTACCTGTGCACACTTTAAAGCTATCACCCGGTGAGGGGGTGGGGGGGGGGGGGGGAGGGAGGATAAACAAAAACAATAATTTTTAATTTTTCTATTATTAGATTTTTCTGTTAGGTTTAGGCACTTAAATGCTTTTCTAGGTGGATTAATATAATATTTGCACCGATTGACGCCATTCGACAAAAAGTTAGGGTTAGGTTAGGGTTAGGTTAGGGTTAGGTTAGGGTTAGGGTTAGGTTAGGGTTAGGATGAGGATGAGGATGAGGATGAGGATGAGGATGAGGATGAGGATGAGGATGAGGATGAGGGTTAGGGGTTGTCGTCCCTCCTTAGACATCGGTGCATAAAAAGTTTGGAAGGGGGGGGGGGGGGGGATTGACACCAAATACACCATCGACCGAAGTGGATTGGCGTTGAACCACATTGGAAATTTACAAATCTACTTATCATTCAAGCAATATATTATACAACAGCCTACGAGTGAGTGTGTTTGTATGTAAGTAGGCCTATGTGTGTATGTATGTGTGTGTGTGTAAAGGAAGGTGGGTATTGTAAGCCTTATTTTTGTATGTAAGTATGTGTGTAATTGTGTGTGTGTGGGTAAAGGAAAGTAGGTATTTTCAGACATGTCACTACATTTACTTCTCTTTTTTTTTACTCATTTAATTTGTTATCTATGATGTGTGATGTGTGATGTGTGATGTGTGATGTGTGATGTGTGATGTGTGATGTGTGATGTGTGATGTGTGATGTGTGATGTGTGATGTGTGATGTGTGATGTGTGATGTGTGATGTGTGATGTGTGATGTGTGATGTGTGATGTGTGATGTGTGATGTGTGATGTGTGATGTGTGATGTGTGATGTGTGATGTGTGATGTGTGATGTGTGATGTGTGATGTGTGATGTGTGATGTGTGATGTGTGATGTGTGATGTGTGATGTGTGATGTGTGATGTATTGAATGAGTTATCTCCCTGCTCCGTATACGGCCAATTGCCATCCAAACACTGGCCCCTATACACCTCACTCAAGGAAAAACTATATGGGGCACCCTCAGATCTGGAGACCATAGTCCAGTTCATCCAACAAATTAGACTTGATGTTTAAATCTTCCACCATAAACTAAAATAAGAACGCAGAAGTAGATAGTTCCAGAACAGCTTACATTTTTACTTTCTCGTATATACAAAGTATAGAGAAAGTCTTGTAATCGTGAAAGAAAAATCGTTTTTTTTTTTTTGCAAATCTCGACGTTTTACACTTCACTGATACGGAAAAACATAATTTTGCAATCTTGTCCGTATGTCTGTGTGTATGTGTGTGTGTCTGTGTGCGTGTCTGTGTGTCTGTAAACACGATAACTTGAGTACCGTTACAGCTAGGTTCATGAAATTTTATATATTTTATCAAAATCGTAGATCCGTATCAACTTTTGAACGATTTTCGATAACCGGAAGTGGTACTTTTTTTTTACTTTGAATTTTTCAAAAGCCTATAACTTGAGTACCATTTCAGATAGATAAATAAAATTTCACACGTAAGTAAATGATCTAATCCTCTACCTTCTGTCAAATTTTGAGAAATTTCCGTTGATCGGAAGTACTAATTTACGCTATTTCCAATTTCTCAAAAAACGCATGTAAATTTAAAAAGTACTAATAATATCGCGCACTATTATGCACATTTTGTTTCGGCGTTCGCTTGGTGCGCAATTATTTTTTTTATTAGATTCTATTCTATTATTAAAAGTTTAAGTAAACAAAAATCCTATATTCCGATTTGCCATTTCACGTAGTGTTATATTAGAATATTCCAGTAAGTTCAGGGGTGATCACTGTCGGTTTATTTCTAAATGTAGCTATAATTTGTTAATTACGATAAAAAAAAAGACCACTGTTGTGGTAGATGTGAGGGTTTTTTACAAGACGACTCGTGGTTAAACTATTTTTCAACGTGCAAAATACATTATTTTTTTGTTTGGGTCGGAATTTTGGACCCCTAAATGACCTGGGCGCCCCCCCCCCCCCGGTTATGGCGGGGTCTAGTAGTTTACACTCTGCACTGCCACTAAGCGAAATGATTTTCTTTCATAGCAGATTTTAAATGTATGTAGGCATAGCACTAGCTGATTTAAAATGTATGTAGGCATAGCACTAGCTGATTTAAAATGTATGTAGGCATAGCACTAGCTGATTTAAAATGTATGTAGGCATAGATGTAGCTGATTTAAAATGTATGTAGGCATAGCACTAGCTGATTTAAAATGTATGTAGGCATAGATGTAGCTGGTTTAAAATGTATGTAGGCATAGCACTAGCTGATTTAAAATGTATGTAGGCATAGATGTAGCTGATTTAAAATGTATGTAGGCATAGCACTAGCTGATTTAAAATGTATGTAGGCATAGATGTAGCTGATTTAAAATGTATGTAGGCATAGCACTAGCTGATTTAAAATGTATGTAGGCATAGATGTAGCTAGTTTAAAATGTATGTAGGCATAGCACTAGCTGATTTAAAATGTATGTAGGCATAGATGTAGCTGATTTAAAATGTATGTAGGCATAGCACTAGCTGATTTAAAATGTATGTAGGCATAGATGTAGCTGATTTAAAATGTATGTAGGCATAGCACTAGCTGATTTAAAATGTATGTAGGCATAGATGTAGCTGATTTAAAATGTATGTAGGCATAGATGTAGCTGATCTAAAATGTATGTAGGCATAGATGTAGCTGATTTAAAATGTATGTAGGCATAGATGTAGCTGATCTAAAATGTATGTAGGCATAGCTGTAGCTGATTTAAAATGTATGTAGTCATAGATGTAGCTGATTTTATTTACCACGTAAATATGCTCCCAGGTAGTCCCATTTAGGCAATACAATCGGGTGACGTCAGGAGTACAGCCAACACTGGATCCACAGAGTAATGTCCAATTTGTGGCGTGGAGTGACGCATTAAAAGCCTTGCCAGCCTCCACAAGATCTAGGAGGCAGTCGGGAGTCTGGACCACGAACTTTACTTTTATCGTAAAATAATCGGGATATCTGTCAGCTAGAAAATGTAGAAAAATAGAGATGAATATATATATATATATATATATATATATATATATATATATATATATATATATATATATATATATATATATATATATATATATATATATACTAGCCGTCCCGGCCAGGCCCTGCTCTGGCTTCTGTGAAAAACCTTCCTGTTAAAGACCATTACCTGTGTGTTTAGTAATCATCATAAACCCGGCATTGCCCACCCAAACCACAACCAACCAAAACCAAAATAACAAAACGCAAACATAACGCTAACACAATTACAAATACAAACGAAAACAAAAACCTAACAACAAACCCAACCACAACCACAAACACCAATACCAACACACAAAAAAAAAAACGAAAAAGCAAACGAAAACAAACCAAATCCAAACGCAAAACCGACCAAAAACACAAATACAAACCCAAAGAAAAAAAAAACACAAACAAAAACGAAAAAAGAAAGAACAAAAACGAACCAAATCAAACCGAATAAACCACTAACGCAAACCCAACCTAAACACAAAGAAAACACTAACGCGAACATAAACGCAAAGTGCTCACAGTCTAGCCCGGGGCGGAATCGCCTGTTTTAGCTTAATAAAAGACTATAGTGCCCCAACTTATTCATAGTCTTTTGCACTCACTTAAACGAACGCGCCTGTTTCAATTTAATGAACAATTATAATACTCCAAGCTTATCCGTAAAATACCTACAACATTTACACTTGATCAATCCCCGCTAATTATGTAATTATTTTTTTCCCAACACCAAAACAAAGGAATAAAAAGTAAATTCTTTTCCACTAATGCAATGGTTTTATAAAGGGAAGTAATTGTGTTTTCCTAATTTATCAAAGGGAAGTAAGTGCTATAGGACTAAATAAAGACATAATTAGAATTTTTGTAAAAGATGATATTTTTTTTAAAACTTGTGTTTAATGAACAGTTAGATAAATGAAAATTATTTCCCAAAACTTTCAATATTAATTTTTTAACTCATAAATTTAGACCATAAGGACTTAAATTATCTAACACTTAAATACATCGAAGATCCACGACAAACATATGTGTTACATACAGAATTGAGCTTTATATATTAGATATGTATATATATATACATATATATATATATATATATATATATATATATATATATATATATATATATATATATATATATATATATATATATATATAAGATTTGGCGCCCTGGGGTATCATGTGAGCGCTATGGTGCATAATTTCGTTTTAAAAAGTGCGATAGACTATGGATAAGAAAGGTTACTATAGTGTGACCTACTTAGGTCTTTTCTTTATTTATATTATTTAGTTTGCTTGAGTTATGTAATTGACCTAGGGAGAGTTGTTAGTTCACCTGATTTCCTCGGTCAACTGAACTCCGTCACGTTATGTGACTTGGATTTTAATCCTTAACCGATCCTCGACCAATGGTCTTACAACATTACAGTAACCTCTCTTGGTTTTGATCCTAGATATAAACTTGACACGAGACTTCTGAAAAAGGACTTTGACCTAGACCCCGGGAGACACAGTGCGGTGTGTGTGTGTGTGTGTGAGGTCTTATTTGAAATGTTCAGTTCGTGGTGATGTATTTTAGTTATTTCACCAAGTTGTATGGTCATTCCAGTGTTTATGATATTGTATTTAGGTGTGTTATTTCACCAAGGCCTTACCTGTGACTTTGATATCTAATTGTTAGCTATATTTCAATATCTTTGAGTTATCTGTAAGTGATTTTTGTGGTTTATTTATTGCTCTTAATGAATTATACTTTGGTGTTGACTTAGTGTCTTTTGTACATACTTGTTCATAAATTAAATAGTGGTTGTCAGTTAAAGCTAAGTTGAGTTTCATCTTTCCTACGTGTTAGTTCCCGTAGACTGTGGTAACAAGCCCACGTAGATGCAGGTATGCTCATTCTGTCCATGGGTATTTCTGTCTAACTACATTAAACGAACCCGGGGCGTTCGCCTGTTCTGCGTCTGTCAGACGGCGAACGTTACAATAGTCTTTAAGTAGATCAAATCCGGGCGTTCTCCGGCACCCCGACAGGGTGCTATTTGGCGCCCCGGGCCTTCCCGTGTACGCTATGGTACGTTCGCGTAAGTGAGTTCAAAAGACTATGAATAAGTTGGGTACTATAGTCGTTTACTAAGTTTAATCAGGCGGTTACGCCGCACGTCGTCATGGTGCGATTTGGCGCCCCGGACTAGACTGTGGACACTTTGAGTTTATATTTGCGTTTGTGTTTGTTTTGTGTTAGTGTTATGTTTGCGGTTTTTTGTGTGTTTTGGTTGGTTGTGGTTAGGATGGGCAATGCTGGGTAAATGCTGATTACTAAACACACATGTCAAGGTCCTTTACAGATAGGTTTTTCACAGAGGCCAGAGCAGGGCCTGGCCGGGAAGGCTAGTATATATATATATATATATATATATATATATATATATATATATATATATATATATATATATATATATATATATATATATATATATATATATATATATATATATATATATATAAATGGAGATTCAAAATCCAACAGGATAAATGAAATGAAAATACCCACCGACACAATTAGGAATAAAGTCGTAACGATATTCGTCGACTCCGCGTTCACAATGGTAAATGGCATACTGGGGTACACCTCTTGGGGTCATGTACCCCTCCTTGCAGTACGCCTCATAGAACACGTCCATTTCAAAGTTGTGAAAAACCATATACACATTTCCTGGTACTGTCGGTAACTTACATGGACCTGAGAAGTAAACAAACAAAGTTCATTGACCTGTGAAGTAAACAAACATAGTTCATTGACCTGGAAAGTAAAAAAACATAGTTCAGTGACCTGGAAAGTAAACAAACATCATTCATTGACCTGTGCAGTAAACAAACATAGTTCATTGACCTGGGAAGTAAACAAACATAGTTCATTGACATGGGAAGTAAACAAACATAGTTCATTGACCTGTGAAGTAAACAAACATAGTTCATTGACCTGTGAAGTAAACAAACATAGTTCATTGACCTGGGAAGTAAACAAACATAGTTCATTGACCTGTGAAGTAAACAAACATAGTTCATTGACATGGGAAGTAAACAAACATAGTTCATTTACCTGTGAAGTAAACAAACATAGTTCATTGACCTGGGAAGTAAACAAACATAGTTCATTGACCTGTGAAGTAAAGAAACATAGTTCATTGACCTGTGAAGTAAACAAACATAGTTCATTGACATGGGAAGTAAACAAACATAATTGACAGCAGTATCTTACTTCGGCCTAGAAGATACACAAAGTTGAATAGAACAATACACGTATAGTTATATCACATTACACAAGTAGATCCCCACATAAATATTAGAGTTTTATTAACACCATTAGACACATAAGAAGAGATTTACATATCCAAATGTTTGGATTAGTCATTTAAATAAATAATATAACAAACCAGATGCTACAAGTTTGAAAATATATAGGGCTATATATTTAGACGTTTTAAAATTATCAGCAAAGACATTTTGTCCGATTCCGTAGCAGTTTTCAAGAATACCGTTAGTAAGGGGCCGCAACCTGTTTAGGTGGATTAAAAAGTTTGATTTTTTATGTACCACAGTACTGTAGCAGCATATCATAGTATTATAGTAGCATAGTACTATAGTAGCATAGCATAGCATAGTACTATATACAAATAATACAAATACAAACACACTTTCCCTTGTAGAGTAAAAAATGACCAACAAATAATCATCTGACCAATGAAAATAGTTTAGGTACACACCACTACATTTGGCTCGGTCCACACTGTTCCAAAATCTTGTTTGATAGGGTGGAGAATGATCGCCCCAACACATGAGAATATCTTGACCAACCAGCTCCTCGCCGTGCGGACACGACAACTTGTAATTCACGTAATCGCCTGCTGCTCCAATCAATTGATATGTCACGTCAGCCCCTATGCATGGTTCAGTGCATTCGGCTTCTGTACCAAGAGAAATTATTTTATTACCACGTTTTTCTTAACTCAGCTTCGCGTTTGTTTGTTGTTAAAATTGACAACGAAAATTAGCCCACTTCTGATTGCTCTAGAGATCTGAGATGACAAAAAACGTGGGTCGGGCAGATGGGTCGGGAAATTTGATGGTGAACGTACCCACGTTTTTTGTCATCAAATGTATGAACAGTCATCACAAGAACCTGCACAGCTCGAGGAAGCACAAAATCTACGAGCAGTCATTGGTAGATCCCCTAGGGTCGGAAGATAAATTTATTTTCTACTTTTTAGTCCACAAGAAAAACGTGTTTTTTTTTTTAAGTTTTTTTACGTATTTTATTTTAGTTGTGCTCAATCTGCCCGACCATGCCTTTCCCCATACCACAATTATCTAAACTCGGGATTTATATATATTTCAATCTATTTCTTTTCTAGATCAACTTAATTTTTAAACATGTATTGCACATTAAAGTACATCGCGACATTAGAAAAGATTGTTGTTTTTTTTAAAAGATATTTCTAAAGTTTAAAAAAGAAAATTAAAATGATTTTACGCATGTCCTAAATATTTTAAATACCATAGCGAGCAAAGGAAAAGAAAGAATCACACGCGCACACACAAGTTGCCAAGCGACATTGTTAACAGATGTAAATTTGATAGCAAATGATTGAGGCACTAACCAGTGATGACGACGTAGAACTGACAAGAACGACTGTTGTCGTGTTCATCTGTTGCCGTGATTGTGATTGTATTGACCCCGTGCTGGTTTAGAAAAAAGGGGGTCGGTGCCACTTGCACCGACTTGACCTTTGAGGAGTCCGTTACTTCAGGCATCTGGAACTCTTTGGGGAAATAGAAATAAGGGCGCATTTTCAACAGCTTCAGTTCCTCGTTGTCAAGACAACCGTCTGGGAAGTCTGGAGCCATCTTGTCATCTTCTTGAAAGGAGTAGCAAGTTGATCACGTCAGTTTTTCTCAGATACTTTTTTAAAGGTACGTGTTATTGCAAACTCGACAATTTTTACTTTCTCGTATACGAAGTATAGAGAAAATATTGTAATCGTGCAAACGCAAAAATCGAGATTTTTGCAAATCTCGACGTTTTGCACCTCTCTGAGTCGGAAAAACATAGTTTTGCAATCTTGTCGATACGTGATCTCTCTCTCTCTCTCTCTCTCTCTCTCTCTCTCTCTCTCTCTCTCTGTGTGTTTGTGTGTGTGTGTGTGTGTAAACATGATAACTTGAGTACCGTTACAGCTAGGTTGATGAAATTTCATAAGTATTATATCAAATTTGTAGATCTGTATCAACATTTCAGCGAGTTCCGATAACCGAATATTTTTTTGCACGACTACAATACTTTCTCTATACTTTGTATACGAGAAAGTTGGCATTTGATGTTCTATAAATCTACACAATAAATCCCACTCTAAAACAACGACTTTTAATAGTAGTTATGTACAGTGCCGGCGCCGGTTATTTAGCGCCCTAGGCTAAACTTATTTAAACGCCCTTTTCCCCACTTCCGCCCCCATATTATACATATAATATATAAATGCATATATTATATATAAATACATGTATAAAATATATACATACATATATATACACACACACACACACACACATATATATATATATATATATATATATATATATATATATATATATATATATATATATATATATATATATATATTATATATATATATATATATATATATATATATATATATATATATATATATATATATATATATATATATATATATATATATATATATATATATATATACATACTAGCGTACCCGTCCCCACGCGTTGCCGCATGCCATATTCTTAGACCCGTGACTTTGTTTTCTAAAAGTGAGTTATTTAAATGTAAACAATGCCTGCGCTTGGATCATAAATAATGGGACACGGGTTTACCTACACCACCGCATGAAAACCTTGAGTGTACGTTAATCACTCACCGAAATAATGAGGTAGAACACACTTCGGTGACCGCCCATGTGTCAGGGGTGCTCTCAGGAGCCCCCCGATTACGCTACGGCACTGGCGCCACGTACGGCTCCTGGCTCCTTAAAACTAACATAGGCACCATAGTGCTCACAAGATAACCCAGAGCGCCACATAGCACCCTGAAACAATGATGCTGATTGCGTCATTCATTAAAGTGACACAAATCAACAGGTTTTTTTTCTTTAAAACGTACAAAAAAAACTTTGACGTGTTTTAAACACTAGTGTGACTGATGCAATATGTTAGCGTTACAAATGGTTTATTATTAGAAGTTGGATCTCAATTTCTGATTGGATCGTCTAAAATTAGATGCTAGTTGCATCATTCGCAAAATGATGAAACTGTTTCGATTTTTTTACGGAAAAAAAGGAAACAACCCAGTTAATAATCTAACCTTGGTTAATTTAAGTGATTATTAAAAAATGTATTACAGGGTCCTCAGCGGCCCATGTGAGACTTTTGGGGCCGAAACTGGAATTTTTATTTGCAGCCAAATCGCAACCTACCATGGCGCGGGTGGACACGCCTGATTCAATTTAGTGAGCGACTGTAACGCCCCATCCTATCCATTGTCTATCACACTGTTTAGAACGAACGTAGTTGCCACAGCGCTCTCGGGAAAGACCAGGGCGCCAAATCGCATCCTGCCGAGGGCCGCCAGTGCAAAATTAAACCCTCCTTCCCCCCCCCCCTCCCCCCCGAGAAACCATCTAGGGAGTATTCATCAACTCCCTAAAGTTTTACGACACTCTGATAAACGGTGTCGAACAGCATCTGACTTTATTTTTTTAAATTTATTGTATATAGAAAAGAATCGCATTCTCCCGGGGTGCTGCCCTGGCGAAATTGAAAAAAGATTTTTTTACAGTCACCTTCACTGGAGTGTTCTAATCAACTCCCCAAAGTTTGATGGCGATTGGATGAACGGTGTCTAATCACAATAGACTTTTAGAATCCCACTCTAAAACAGCGACTTATAATGGTCTTTATGTCAAACAAATCCCACTCTAAAGCAGCGACTTATAATGGTATTTATGTCAAACAAATCCCACCCTAAAACAGCGACTTCTATTGGTATTTATGTCAAACAAATCCCACCCTAAAACAGCGACTTCTATTGGTATTTATGTCAAGCAAATCCCACCCTAAAACAGCGACTTATAATGGTATTTGTGTCAAACAAATTCTAAAACTGCGACTTACCGTCACAGTGACGATGGGACTCGGTAAACTCGACATTCCATGTGCCACTGTCAAGGTCACAGATGAACGTCTTGCTCATTGTCGCCATAGTATCACGATAGCATTTGAGGACACATTCTACATACCCGTGCTGTCTAGGCTCCTTATGCCCAGGTGTGTCTTGTGGTTGATCGTGTAAACAACACGTAAATTCACTATCTTTCCAGTGAACATAATCCGCAGGTAGCACATCACAGGGGGTTGGAGAAGACGGACGGGGTTGGTAGAGAAACCCAAGTAAGGAGACAATCCAGGTCAAAGTGTTGAGTTGTGTTTTCCGTCGCATCATTTAGATTTTAAACTACACAGCTTGTGTTTCCTTTAGCAAGCAGTATTTTAAATATATTTTACAGTTACTCCTAAAACAACCGAATCCATTGAAGTCTATAATAAGTTTTGATTCTTTATCGTGCAAACAATTGCTAATAATCGGGAATTTTAATGACATCTTTCTAGGTAGAGATGCGCTTTTAGTTTACTGTAATATATTTTTCGTCTTAGATATTAGAGAAAAATGCATTACGTTTTAATAATAAGCTTTTATGTTATAATGCACTAAAAAGGAAAATATACATTATATTTTCATTAAATATATCATATAGCCTATATCATATATCATAAACCAGTTCAAACGATTGAATTACAGCTCGTTGTTAAGGGAAACAGGAGGGTACTACATACCAGCGAGAGTTGAGATTTACAAGTTAGCAGTGTCAACACAATGTGATTGGCAAGGAATAACATCATAACAAGTATGGCACCGAAACGGAAAGTAATTTTGTTAATAAAAAAGTCTGTGTCTGTCTTCTTAAAAACTGAACTTGTGTATACATCGTTGTATGGTGGCATCATATGGGACCGCAGCAGTGTCGAACAATTAAATGCCATCACCATTTACTGTAAGATAATTTTAAGCATCAGAGGTAGATTTCGTCAACATTTCTGTAGATGTGGGTGGTAGCTTCTTTTATTTACCTTTTTTCATAAAAGTCTTGTAATTTCTGCCAAGCAATGTATTTATAAATTATTTTTTTTCAACCGCCGTTGTTATTACATTTACAGTTAAGTAACTGTAACTAAAATAATGAACCATTGACAAACTCAGTTATTTTGAGTACTAAGACGGTCGGTCATTGTCTGGGTCTTGTCTGTCTTTGTCTGGGTCTTGTCTGTCTTTGTCTGGGTCTTGTCTGTCTTTGTCTGGGTCTTGTCTGTCTTTGTCTGGGTCTTGTCGGTCATTGTCTGGGTCTTGTCTGTCTTTGACTGGCACTAATTGCACACTGTTTTCTAGAAGACAAATCTTAATGAGTAATTAACCAGCCATCACCAGTCACATTAATTGCTACTTAATGACTTTAAGTACACATGACTTTAAGTACCCAGAGATATAGTAGCTGTATTTTTCTGGAAAGGATACATTGTGTTGTTAAGAAAATGTGACATGTTTTTGACAATAAATTAATAAACTCAACACATTTACTCTACACATAAAGTAAAAACAACAATCAACTCATTGACTAGACATATTAAACTCTATAAGTCTCTATAAAAACTTCTAAATATAAAATCGATCTATTGGTTTTATTTTAAATTCAGTTAGTGGGGACACAAAATGATTCTACAGGAGCATTCCCTAGGACCATACTTCATTGCATTTACTTAAATGTCCTACTTATTTACCCAATGTTTACCCGGATGTCTTAATGTCCTACATATCTGCAAAACGTTTAGATGATGTCATCTTTAGATCCTGAACAAACACCGAATTGCTTCTTAGAAATGTAAACTTGTGACACGCATGAATGGGCACAAGCCAAATAAACAAATGTACGCTTGGGTTGCTTATCCATAACATTAGCATATTTTAAAAATTGCAACTACAAAAGCAATATACCCGCGTAATTATATTTTAATATTTCCCAACAGGCATTGTCAACCTAATTTTACTGGGAATGTTTTATCCTTACAATTTTTTTTATCTAGATATTGTGTCTGTGGGTAGTTTGTCTAGAAACACACGGGTCCGGGTATGTTTTTATCTTTACAAAAAACAAAATCTCGCTATCCTATGTGACAAAAACAAAATCTCGCTATCCTATGTGACAAAATCTCGCTATCCTATGTGACAACATCTCGCTATCCTATGTGACAAAATCTCGCTATCCTATGTGACAACATCTCGCTATCCTATGTGACAACATCTCGCTATCCTATGTGACAAAATCTCGCTATCCTATGTGACAACATCTCGCTATCCTATGTGACAACATCTCGCTATCCTATGTGACAACATCTCGCTATCCTATGTGACAACATCTCGCTATCCTATGTGACAACATCTCGTTATCCTATGCGACAAAAACAAAATTGAGCTCAGAGCCTGGAAGAAAATAAGCTGCGACTGGCACTTGTAGAAGCAATAAACTCGGTAAGAATTCAACAGTCACAACATGGTGTGCTAGCACATGTAGAAGCAATAAACTCGGTAAGAATTCAACAGTCACAACATGGTGTGCTAGCACATGTAGAAGCAATAAACTCGGTAAGAATTCAACAGTCACAACATGATGTGCTGGCACTTGTAGAAGCAATAAACTCGGTAAGAATTCAACAGTCACAACATGATGTGCTGGCACTTGTAGAAGCAATAAACTCGGTAAGAATTCAACAGTCACAACATGATGTGCTGGCACTTGTAGAAGCAATAAACTCGGTAAGAATTCAACAGTCACAACATGATGTGCTGGCACTTGTAGAAGCAATAAACTCGGTAAGAATTCAACAGTCACAACATGATGTGCTGGCACTTGTAGAAGCAATAAACTCGGTAAGAATTCAACAGTCACAACATGATGTGCTGGCACTTGTAGAAGCAATAAACTCGGTAAGAATTCAACAGTCACAACATGATGTGCTGGCACTTGTAGAAGCAATAAACTCGGTAAGAATTCAACAGTCACAACATGGTGTGCTGGCACTTGTAGAAGCAATAAACTCGGTAAGAATTCAACAGTCACAACATGATGTGCTGGCACTTGTAGAAGCAATAAACTCGGTAAGAATTCAACAGTCACAACATGGTGTGCTGGCACTTGTAGAAGCAATAAACTCGGTAAGAATTCAACAGTCACAACATGATGTGCTGGCACTTGTAGAAGCAATAAACTCGGTAAGAATTCAACAGTCACAACATGGTGTGCTGGCACTTGTAGAAGCAATAAACTCGGTAAGAATTCAACAGTCACAACATGATGTGCTGGCACTTGTAGAAGCAATAAACTCGGTAAGAATTCAACAGTCACAACATGATGTGCTGGCACTTGTAGAAGCAATAAACTCGGTAAGAATTCAACAGTCACAACATGATGTGCTAGCACTTGTAGAAGCAATAAACTCGGTAAGAACTCAACAGTCACAACATGATGTGCTGGCACTTGTAGAAGCAATAAACTCGGTAAGAATTCAACAGTCACAACATGATGTGCTGGCACTTGTAGAAGCAATAAACTCGGTAAGAATTCAACAGTCACAACATGATGTGCTGGCACTTGTAGAAGCAATAAACTCGGTAAGAATTCAACAGTCACAACATGATGTGCTAGCACTTGTAGTAGCAATAAACTCGGTAAGAATTCAACAGTGACAACATGGTGTGCTGGCACTTGTAGAAGCAATAAACTCGGTAAGAATTCAACAGTCACAACATGATGTACTGGCACTTGTAGAAGCAATAAACTCGGTAAGAATTCAACAGTCACAACATGATGTGCTAGCACTTGTAGAAGCAATAAACTCGGTAAGAATTCAACAGTCACAACATGATGTGCTGGCACTTGTAGAAGCAATAAACTCGGTAAGAATTCAACAGTCACAACATGATGTGCTGGCACTTGTAGAAGCAATAAACTCGGTAAGAATTCAACAGTCACAACATGATGTGCTAGCACATGTAGAAGCAATAAACTCGGTAAGAATTCAACAGTCACAACATGATGTGCTGGCACTTGTAGAAGCAATAAACTCGGTAAGAATTCAACAGTCACAACATGATGTGCTAGCACTTGTAGAAGCAATAAACTCGGTAAGAATTCAACAGTCACAACATGATGTGCTGGCACTTGTAGAAGCAATAAACTCGGTAAGAATTCAACAGTCACAACATGATGTGCTAGCACTTGTAGTAGCAATAAACTCGGTAAGAATTCAACAGTGACAACATGGTGTGCTGGCACTTGTAGAAGCAATAAACTCGGTAAGAATTCAACAGTCACAACATGATGTACTGGCACTTGTAGAAGCAATAAACTCGGTAAGAATTCAACAGTCACAACATGATGTGCTAGCACTTGTAGAAGCAATAAACTCGGTAAGAATTCAACAGTCACAACATGATGTGCTGGCACTTGTAGAAGCAATAAACTCGGTAAGAATTCAACAGTCACAACATGATGTGCTGGCACTTGTAGAAGCAATAAACTCGGTAAGAATTCAACAGTCACAACATGATGTGCTAGCACATGTAGAAGCAATAAACTCGGTAAGAATTCAACAGTCACAACATGATGTGCTGGCACTTGTAGAAGCAATAAACTCGGTAAGAATTCAACAGTCACAACATGATGTGCTAGCACTTGTAGAAGCAATAAACTCGGTAAGAATTCAACAGTCACAACATGATGTGCTGGCACTTGTAGAAGCAATAAACTCGGTAAGAATTCAACAGTCACAACATGATGTGCTGGCACTTGTAGAAGCAATAAACTCGGTAAGAATTCAACAGTCACAACATGATGTGCTAGTCAGGCTGTCTTTAATCAGGAGGACAAGAACTCAACAGTTGACTGTCAAGTGCGCTGGTTTTTTTCAACTATTTAAAACCGTTATATATCGTCTGCTTGTCTGAAATCGTACTAACTTTTTAAACTGATGACTTGTTATTCATACCTAATAACAGTTTGTCCGTCTGGTTGTCTTTTATGTATTACTTCAGAATTGATCCACCCGCCTTGAAACTTTGGGAAGCTGTACGTTCTCTCAATACAAATGGTTTTAAATATCGCAAGGACATCACACTACACTACACTACACCACACCGCACCACACCACACCACACCACACCACACGACACGACACCACACGACACCACACTACACCACCTCACACCACACCACACTACACCACACTACACCACATCACACCACACCACACCACACCGCACCGCACCACACCACACCACACCACACCATACCACACCACACCACACTACACCACACTACACCACACCACACCACACCACACTACACTACACTACACTACACTACACTACACTACACTACACTACACTACACTACACTACACTACACTACACTACACTACACTACACTACACTACACTACACTACACTACACTACACTACACTACACTACACTACACTACACTACACTACACTACACTACACTACACTACACTACACTACACTACACTACACTACACTACACTACACTACACTACACTACACTACACTACACTACACTACACTACACTACACTACACTACACTACACTACACTACACTACACTACACTACACTACACTACACTACACTACACTACACTACACTACACTACACTACACTACACTACACTACACCACACCACACCACACCACACCACACCACACCACACCACACCACGCTACACCACACCACACCACACCACCTGTCCGTGTGATTTGAGTGATGTGAGATGAGTGATGTGATGTGAGTTGAGTGATGTGATTATAGTGATGTGAGTTGAGTGATGTACCAAATCTGGCTTGTTTTTGTTCTACAGTTCTCTCGAGAGTTCGGTCAGCTGTGTGTTCAATCCCTTCTGCAACACCACACCACACCACGCCACGCCACGCCACGCTACACCACACCACACCTCACCACACCACACCACACCACACCACACCACACCTTACTGTATAGACCGTGACGTGAGTCAAGCGTATCACCGAATTTATTTCAATAAAAAGCGGCAAACGCCACATTCTGTTCTCGTTGTTGGCAGCTGTGTGTCTTTATGTTATACCAGACTTAAGCTGAAACGGCCTCGACCTTGTAACGGCTGACACCGTGAGACGTGCCTGGCAACATTGACCTACATTGCTTAACACCGACATTGACTGACACAAATAGCTTCTGAGAATTAGTAGGATATGTGCATCATGTGTCAGATGGGTGCAGAACAGACGCCAGAACAAAGACATCTGTTAACCCACTTTCCTGTTCAAGAGAAAAAATTCTTTGAAAAGCAAATATTAAGTTTAAATGCTTACAAAAACTTGAGGTCATGTGTATATTCAGTCTAACACTGTAATTTGACCGTTTGCCCCAATGCTACTGTGCATTTTACTGGATTAAACGTACCTAGAAATACTAAAACAAATGTGTTCTTGGAAAGAAACAAACGATTCTTGGAATGTAATTCAGATATCCAATCCCCAAGTATCGTCTACGTTCCTGTTGAACAAGCTCATTGTGAAATCTTGTACCATTTGTAACTTCTAATAAACACTGAGATGTATGTAGCATACAGTACACCAACACCTAAAACAGAACAGAGCAGACTACATTGAATGCCTCACAATAATTATTTATTGTGTTTTCACTATTATACATTCCAAGCAATTCATTTTGTCCAGTAAAAAAAGTGCAACGTTTTAAATATATCGCATGCAAGTTAAAGTAAACAAAATTGACCTCATTTTAATAATAAAGAATTAAATCATAACATGAATTTGTACATGACATTTGGACATTCATGTCATATGTTATTGCTCTAAATACTGATTGATTAAAATCGTATTCATGTAATGTAAACACTAAATTGTATTGATTGTATAGTTTGGACAGTGATCGATAGTTGCAGCTAGTTGCTGCATAAATGAGAGGTGCTCTTGTATTGATTCATAGTCTAGTAGATACAGTCGAATAAGCCAGACAGATGAATGCCAGAAGTGGAAGGGCAAACTCGTCCCATCTGTCAGTGACACTATCTGTCAGTGACACTATCTGTCAGTGACAGTTAGAATACCCCTATGGTCATAGTGACATTCTAAGAATGTGCGATCTTAATTAGTACTAGCGTCCGCTGCTGATGACAGTTCAACACGACAGAGTGATAGTAATAACTGAACAGACGGACGGACAGACAGACGGACGGACAGACAGACGGACGGACGGACATACAAACATACGGACAGACGGACAGACGGACAGACGGACGGATGGACAGACAGACAGACAGACAGACAGACAGACAGACAGACAGACAGACAGACATACAGACAGACAGACAGACAGACAGACAGACAGACAGACAGACAGACAGACAGACAGACAGACAGACAGACAGACAGACAGACAGACAGACAGACAGACAGACAGACAGACAGACAGACAGACAGACAGACGGATGGACAGACGGACAGACGGATAGACAGACAGACGGACAGACAGACAGACAGACAGACAGACAGACGGACAGACGGACAGACATCCAGACAGACAGACAGACAGACAGAGGGACAGACAGTCTTTAAAATTCCGGTTTTGAAAGTTTATAAAACCGCAAAATTTTGTCAAAATCTCTGAGTTTTGCACGATTGTAGTAGATCCTTTTTATTCTGTATACGATACTGAAGAGAGACGAAAGCTATTAAAACAATGTCTGCAAGATTACAATATTTTCACCGTTTGTATGATGTGAACACACCTATCGTATGTAAGAGAATCTGTCATTTTTTTTTTAAATTGACGGTCATTTTGTTTTAATTCACCGATCTCCCAGACAGGATGTAATGCAAGCTAGAGCGTGGCCAGATTTTTTGTGTCATCTGAAAACTGGTGACTGAGCATGCGCAGAAAAATGATTATAAGTTTGATAACAACTTTACGTGATCATAGAGACGACTTGTCTATATTTAATGCTTCCTTGACAATTCAAAAGACGTGCACACAAAGGACTTTATCTGTAACATATCATTTCTAAAGTAGAAAAAGTAAGAGATGAATCGTATAAGCCTTATTAAACACTGTTTATATATATATATATATATATATATATATATATATATATATATATATATGTGTGTGTGTGTGTGTGCGTGTGTGTGTGTGTGCGTGTGTGTGTGCGTGTGTGTGCGTGTGTGTGTGTGTGTGCGTGTGTGTGTGTGTGCGTGTGTGTGTGTGTGTGCGTGTGTGTGTGCGTGTGTGTGTGTGTGTGTGTATGTGCGTGTGTGTGTGTGTGTATGTGCGTGTGTGTGTGTGTGTGTGTATGTGCGTGAGTGTGTGCACATCGAAAATTGTATTGAATGTAATTTATCCCGGATTATTTCCAACAGGCAACCCTAATGGCAGCCGTAAAAGCTCTGTGCCTGTCCGTGTTTGTCTTGGTCATCTCGATAGGGTCATCGTCAGGAGGTAAGTAGCGCGAGTAACATCAGGAGGTAAGTGTCGCGAGTAACATCACGAGGTAAGTGTCGCGAGTAACATCACGAGGTAAGTAGCGCGAGTAACATCACGAGGTAAGTAGCGCGAGTAACATCAGGAGGTAAGTATCGCGAGTAACATCAGGAGGTAAGTGTCGCGAGTAACATCACGAGGTAAGTATCGCAAACATCAGGAGGTAAATATCGCGAGTAACATCAGGAGGTAAGTGTCGCGAGTAACATCACGAGGTAAGTATCGCAACATCACGAGGTAAGTATCGCGAGTAACATCACAAGGTAAGTATCGCGAGTAACATCAGGAGGTAAGTATCGCGAGTAACATCAGGAGGTAAATATCGCGAGTAACATCAGGAGGTAAGTATCGCGAGTAACATCACGAGGTAAGTAGCGCGAGTAACATCAGGAGGTAAGTATCGCGAGTAACATCACGAGGTAAGTAGCGCGAGTAACATCAGGAGGTAAATATCGCGAGTAACATCACGAGGTAAGTATCGCGAGTAAAATCAGGAGGTAAGTATCGCTACATCACGAGGTAAGTATCGCAACATCACAAGGTAAGTATCGCGAGTAACATCAGTAGGGTGAAGATAATTCGTTTAATTAGCTGCCTCAATTTGGACATAACACGCAGACAAATGAAATGGCTTTGATGGTACTTACAAGTTTTCACATCTGATTTTTTAAACAACAGATATTAGCATTTTAGAACATTGGAAAGAAGAAGATCAGATTTAAAACGTGAATACAATCAAATGTATTTATTGTGGTAGGGCAGCCTACGTAAGATAAAAGTTTCGCGATTTAGTTTTCATACCGATCATGACATGTGATTGAACTAATAAAATCAGTATTTGACATTTTAGCACATCTGTAAGTGTAAATACTAATTGAGTGTAACTCAATAAACAGTTCCTCACAATTTGTGTGAGGGCGGTAAGTGTGGTAAGCTGTGTGAGTATTTAAACTGCGATGGCACAAAACATTGAGGTGCTCAGCACAACAATCGAGGAGCAAATAAAATTACCGGGTGTCCTCCGTCATATACATTCATCAAGTTATGTATCCTATACATTTTATATAAGATAATGCTTGACGATGATGTTTTACTTTAAGATTGCACAACGAAAAAAATTACTGATTGTCAAGGGAAGGTCACTAAAACTGATTGCAGGTTCGTTTACAATACTCTCTTTGAAGAAATACATAGTCACACAAACACACACACAGAAGCACACTGATGCTGTTGTGTGGAAAACGTGAACGCATGCAGTAAGTGAGCTATGTCTAAGTTGTGGTGAGGTCACTTGGATTACACAAAACATAGATATGTTCATGTTCTCAACAAAAGTTCTATGTTCATGTTCTCAACATGGTTCTTAAAGTTCTTTGTTCATGTTCTCAACATGGTTCTTAAAGTTCTTTGTTCATGTTCTCAACATGGTTCTTAAAGTTCTTTGTTCATGTTCTCAACATGGTTCTTAAAGTTCTTTGTTCATGTTCTCAACGTGGTTCTTAAAGTTCTTTGTTCATGTTCTCAACATGGTTCTTAAAGTTCTTTGTTCATGTTCTCAACATGGTTCTTAAAGTTCTTTGTTCATGTTCGCAACATGGTTCTTAAAGTTCTTTGTTCATGTTCTCAACATGGTTCCTAAAGTTCTTTGTTCATGTTTGCAACATGGTTCTTAAAGTTCTTTGTTCATGTACTCAACATGGCTCTTAAAGTTCTTTGTTCATGTTCGCAACATGGTTCTTAAAGTTCTTTGTTCATGTTCTCAACATAAGTTCTTTGTT